TAAATAGATTTATGACTTAAAAAGAAACAAAACTTTTATCCTGAAAACTCCAGTTTAAAATGGCTCGCACAATTAAAAGGAATCTCTTTATACAGTACTGTATTTCAATGCAAATCATCAAAGTGATTCATTATAAATAATATTAATGATTTCGGCTACTTTGACATAAACGAAAAACATTTGCACAGTTAACTAAAAAATGTTTTTATTTATATGGCTATAACTGCTATCATTTATATGGCTAGAGAGCTCTGTTTAGTTGCTGATCTATAATAGTAAGCAGCACATGAAAAATAAACATTAGCAAAAATTAACATTGAAAATTGTGCTCGTGTTCTTTCTTGCTCATAACTTGCTTTTTATTAAAATATTATTTTGTAGTTGTAATCTGATAAGTCTAATAAGTCATTGATTAATTTATTTACCAAAAATGATATGTTTATATATTAATGTTTAATTATTTAGGAAGTTCTTGACATATTTTCGATTCTACTACAAATGATTTGATCACTTGGAATTGTTAATTTCCTTAGTTTTATCATCGACTTGAAATTGTGAATAAAAAATGAATTTGTATGAATCATCAAATTATCCCATTTTCAATAATAATTCCAACTTGTTAAACGCACGACTGCTATCTTTTATAAATTTACAGTTCCCATTTGAATTCAAATTTATTAAAAACTCTTTCACTTTCATGGTATTATTTCATAGAATATCCGCATAAATATACTCAATATGTTGCTAGTTACACTATAAACTATACAAAATGTTGTTATTATCAATAATCTATATAAAATACTGTAACGATGAAATTTCAATATTTTCATTAAAAGACAAAAAATAAGATGTATCTGATATTTGAACTACTTATTTTCAATTCTATATAAATTTGGAAATGTATCATCTGCATGGGCACGAACACGAGATTCGTGATAAATTTATCAAAGGCAAAATTATTATCTTGCTTCGGCTGATAAATCTTAATCTATAATTTAATATTAACAGATGTCGATACCAGATGTTTATAAACTAAAAAATGAAGGATAATATCTTTTCATTTATAAAATTTATCGAGGGAGAATTCATGCCGGCTATATTTATAGAATAAGTATCAATACTAGGCGTATATTAAGTTCTTAGATAGTATAGTTCTAGATGATATATACACTGCATAAGCCATGTAAGTTGATATATAGCTCAATCACTCTCTACCAATTATGATAAAGTACATTCACTCTATATGTACTTCATAAAATATATACTAATCTATTTGCTCTTGTGAAATAATTTGAATATGTCCGGATTTATATATATTTCATATTCTTTAATATTTCTCCGTTTAATTTAACGTATAATATATAAAATTGTTAATTAGCATACGTCTATAACAGGTTTGTCGAACAAGTCAAAGAAAAGTTAGTATCATTTATTATATTATTGATGCTAAAAAATAATAACAAATAAAATAATAAGAAGAAGATAAAATTTAATAATAAAAGTAATTATTTGTATTTTGAAAATATATTCTGATTACATTTCTTAAACTCCAAATTCAATATATTTATAATAATAATTTGAACGATTACGTAGTAATCGTTGTGTGTATATATATATATATATATATAGTAAAATGCGACAGGGACTAGAAGAAATTATCGTAACTATAAATACAACTAATAAAATAATAAATATCTAACTTTACATTGCAATTTATACTTTAAATATGACGCCTATATAATTACGAAATTTTCTCAATTCTCGGATTAAAACTTGCCACATTTAAAAAATGCTAATATTCTGAATAGTTTGTTGGCCAATTTTTGCATCCAAGTCTGTAAAAAGGAGAAAACTTGCACTTTCGGATTTTCCGCATGGTCGAAAAAGCTACAGAACGAATGACCCGTGGAGTGACGAGTAAGAGGGGGGAAAGAAGAGAAGAGAGGTCCCAGGTGAACAAGGCTCTCCTTCCATTGTGGGATTAGCGTAGCCCCGGACTCTTCTGCCTTTCCCACGCCAGACTTGCTTGCGTTAGTACCTTGCGCACTTTTTCCTTTGTGTGTACATGCGCACGCGCACGTATATGCAGTAAAAGACAGACTTCGGATTTGAGCTTCATTAGCGAACGCTGCGGTACTTTGCTTTGGCCGATTGGCGCGCGTATCTCTGAACTTTTGTCTCATACTCGATGTTTGCGATTCCAGAGTCCAAACACTTCTGCGAATACACTGTTTCTGTCGCATTGAAAGCTTGCGTTTCGTACCGGATCCTCTTTATTTACCTTATTGCCTTATCGCGATAATAAAGGCATCCCGATTGAAGTGCAATAGGTATGGGAGGCTTTGAATCATACATCTTTATAATAGAGATGTTTTGCGCTTTCAAAGTAATGTTATGGACTACTGTTTTTTCATATCCTTTCTATTATGTATATGGAGGAAAGTTACTGCAAAATGCAGGTACTAACAGAGTATATATTGTTATTGAATTTCGTTAAATAGAGATTTCGAAAATTATTTTTAATTTTTTAGATATCATAAGCGGATTATTTTCTTGCGCAAAATATCGTAAGAAATATACTTTCTTCGCATAAATATATTCAAAGGAATAATTTATGTATTTTTCTTTTTATACGGGTTTGCAATTAATTATTCAGTCAACTTTGAATTTGCAGAAGCAATATTCTTTAATATTTTTTATATATAATATTAATATAATTAATAAATAATATTGCTATCCAAGTACAAAAGCTTCAAAAGTAACTAAATCAGTAAATTAATAAAAGTAAGTAATAAAGTATCATATTTTTTATAACTAATTAGTACTGCTTCCATTCATACATTTGAGTTTAATTGGCACAAGAGGAAGATCTTAAATAAATAAAAGCTAACCGCCTTATTTTTTTAAAAAACTTGATGCTTAATAGGTAATTATTCAAAAGTATATCCTTCGTAATATTCTTATTTTATAAGCATGAAATACAAATTTAAATAAACATGACTTTTTCTTCCATAATGAATGAAAAATTTCGGGGGACCAACAGACGTCATTCATAAATTAGAAACACGCCCCAGAAATTGTGAACAAGCCAAAATCTCAATTTAAAAAGAACAGGAAATATGTTCTTATTGAGTACTGTGAGCATGGAAATAGATTTAAAAAAAAGGACGAACGAAAAGACGTATCGCAGCTTGTGATTCCTCTTTCTTTTACTTTCTTGCACTTTTGCTACTACTCGTACGCATCACTTAAAGTAGGAAACTTGGTTTCCGCCTTCGCCTTACGTACGAAAGGGACGGATACGCCAGAAGAAGCAACACGCCAGTAAACATTATATCGAGAAAAGCATTAGAAAGTACTCAAATATTTTCATTACAAATATACGTATGCTTTTAATGTCCTGCGTTAGCGTGCCTCCCTGAAATGTTTTCTATGATTTTGCAACCCTGAATGAGGCGCTAACAATATGAGAAGATTTAAGAATATGACTATTTTTACATTCGTACTTGGGCTGAAATTCGAAGAATGCTTATTCACCTTTATTGATTTAATAAAGACTGGACGAGTGTTCGACAACACTTTCAACTTTGCCGATACAAGTTCCGACAATGCGGGAAAATGGCAAATTCGCGGCTATCATTAGCCATACTGAATAAATACTTACTCAAGTTAAAATACAATTTTCCCGGTCCGTAGATATATTATACTTCAATTCGACAATATTAGCTTGTACTTGGAATACGTGTTATTGACTTGGGTACGCGTTTGCTCAGTATCATTAACATTTTTTAATAATAAAAAACGAATTGGTAAAGTACGCAGATTCAGCTCTAAAATTTGACGTTAATTATTGCTTGTTAACTTAATAAATTGTATAAATTATAACTTCATTTGCGCCAACCATTTATTTGCTTTATGTAGAAGTATCAACGAATGTATGCACTAGACATACAACTATGGCAGATAATGGATTTCTATGTATGTCACTAGCGATTCGTAGTTAAAAAAAAAATCTATGGTAAGTGAGCCATCTGGCATTTTTCTTCACCTGTTCAGAGATAAGCGTTGCTTCATCTAGGAGATAAGCGAGTCAAAGAAGCTTATAATTTATTGTAAATAAAGATGCCTTTGGTCGCGGTGTAAGATTTCGCAACCGCTATTTAGTCGGAAGTACGTACTTGTTTTTCAACGAGATCGTCGCGCTTTCTTATGTCGTACGAAAGAACGGTACGCTTATTTTTGTTCTCTGGTGGAGCTCGGAAAAAACGAATGAAAATCCCCCCACCCCATCACCCCTTGCGTCAAATCTATAAATAAAAATTCTTTTATTTTTAATTTGTTTTATGAATGACAATATGTGCAAAACATTTATATAAAATTGGTTATCATCATCAGTTTTCAATTGGTTTTTCCGATGTAATAAATGCATTTCCATTACAGAAACTGTAAGTGAATATGTATTATATTTCATTAGCCTTCAGTCTGCTACATAATATTACTGCACTAAACTTTATTAACAGCCGTTTTAAAAGTGCACATTGTGCTAATCTATTCGATGAAAAGTCGACATTTGACCATAGCTATCGTTACCACCCTATTTCATAATGAGTTCTACAATTTATTAAAAATATCAAGCATTAATAAAATTAATAAATGTCATTATATGCTATATTATGGTTAATAATATAAAAATATTAACAATATAATGTCGATTGCTTCAAATCACAGAGCTTTTTCAACATTTTCTACACCGTTTATCCTATAACGGCACTTATTTAAGGTGTGCGATCCACTCGCTTTACCATAAATTTTGCGTAAGCCTTCAGGCAGATTGTCGTGTTCGATTTCCAACTCAAAATTTCAGCAGCCCTTCTAACTACCAAATGCAAGGCTCTTGGTAATATTAAGGCCGATGCGACTCGGATTCCTCTGAGGTTCGTTATCCCCCCCTTCCCGGAGAGTCATTATCCCCAAAACCAAAGATTCAAACTGACACTTACGGACTGGTATCTTCTTGGGATCCTGTAGCGCGAGCCGCTCCTCCACCATATCGAGCCTCGTCCTGAGCTTGCCGCTCCTGTCGGCGATACCAGCGAGCTCCGCCGTGAGCTCCGCGAAGATATCCTCCGCGGCGATGAGGAGTGAAGCTAGCTGTTTGAGGGAGGCGGTCAAGGCGCCGTTTGCTGCAGCCTCGAGCTCCGCACCCACCGGCCAGTCGCGCGAGACCACCGTCGGCACGTGTCCTCGGCACACGTACCGCGGCTCCACCTTCCTTACCACGAACGGCATGCTTATTCTCTTCCTTTCTTCAACGTTCCGTCACCCGCTCTCTCTCTCTCTCTCTCTCTCTCTCTCGCTCTCTCCCTCCCTCTCTCTAGCCCCTCGCGCCACCACTTTATCTACCTCTGAAACAGATACAAGGCGGTACTGACTACAGCAGCTAAACTACGGGTTGAGCAGGAGCACCCGAGCACACTCACGCACCATCAACGGCGCCATGGGCCCCGGGGCCTCCACACGGCCACTGCACACTCGGCTTCGAGCACGCGATTATCTTACGTACCGAACCTACGCGGCTCGGCGGTCGCGCACGGAGTACCACCGGCCGGCTGGACAGCCGCGGATTCGGTTCGGTTGGCAGTCCAACCTCCTTTCTACGGAGTTTGAATCAGCCAATCAGAGATCACTGAGTCTCGCGCGTTTGCTCCCGTCGCCCGGGTGAGCACTACGACATCTGGAGCATTCTAAACAAGCTACAGGGAAGAAAACTGAACAATTAAAGAAATGAAGTTGGCTCACTTATCGATGGTCACGTCGGTCGTTGATTGCATTTCCTACTTGGCCAACTGAGTGACGCAATTTGCTCGAACATCACGGCGGGAGGGAGAGATTTAGATTTTTGTTTCATCGAGTCCGTCGGAGGCTTCATTTTTCGTAAAAAAATTAATTATGGATTGAAATTAGAAGGGAATAGAATGCCGAACGTTTGACTCTAAGGCCTAATTGCCTGCGCTATGTATTAAGTGGCTGTTGATAGATTTTTACTAATATAAAAACTTACATTCGTATTATTTCGACAACTTCCACAATCGGAATCGCTTTATGTACTTTCTGCAGTCGTATTTGAGCACGAATTAAAAGTATCATAAGAGATATTTATTATAATGCAGGAATTAATGAGATGGTAACACGTGTTTTCCAATTAGCAAACGAACTTTTCCAATATTCTATACTTAAATAGTGAAATTAGTGAGTTAATTGATCCATTATTTAATAGCGGCTTTGGTATTGATTCTTTTGATCTCATAGAGATTCATAAATTTCATTATAATTTTTTATATAATGCACTGAATATTTTTTAAGTGCAGCCCATATATAAATATATATATAATATATATATAAATTATATATATAAATTTTTCGCGCGCTACCTTCGTTACGTAATTTCGCCAATTTTCAGACTTTAATGTTATATTTACTTTGTCCTCCCCACCATTAGAATTAGTACACTTAACATAACCCCACTTTTTTGTTTTTTTTTTGGTTTTCCACTGTGCTCATAAAGTGAGAACGATGTGTATTGGTAGAAATATTTTTATGTATTCTGTATTATTCTTTAAAGAAAGAAATGGTGTTAGGTTGAATTATTAAATTCGACAGAATTTTTTTTTGTAAGAAAATTTCGCGATGCTGTAGAATTTAATTTTTTACGTCCTTGATGTATCTATTTGTAGGTATTAGATAATTTTTTTTTGTAAGCAAGTTGTTTAATGTCGAAATGATTTTGGTTTTAAACACCAACAAATAGTATTTTATGTAATATTCAAAATTTTCTGTGTCAACAATTTATTTTTGATATTATAATTTGATATATTGAACATCTATTTTTATAAGTTTTATTGTTACCATTCCAATATTTGTGAATTCTTAAATTTCATAAGTTTTAAAAATAATAGCTTATTTATTTCTTATGAGTTAATGCGTATTATTAATTGTTTAATTTTGTATTTAAAATTTTAATATATATTAACATACATATTTAATACAATATCACCTTGTTTATTTATATATATTGTATTTTCAAATTTTAATATAGGTTATTTTGTATATGAAATTTTGTCATAAAGTTTTCAATAACTATATTTTAGTATAATAACCATATATAAATTATAATCTGTGTATTTTGAACAGTTTGATACTTTATTACCTTAAATGTTTGTCTCAGAATTGCTGAGGACAAATTGTGCTAAAATATCCATTTATAGGTTGTATGTGATACTTATTTGTGAAAATCAGGTAATTTGAGAACTTCTATTGTAAGTTAGTTATAATGTATGAGACATAAGTTGTATAATTTTTAGATATGGAGATGGAACAAGGTGAGGGTATTGATAAGAAAGAAGAGAAGAATAATGAAACAAAATATAAAATTTTGGGTTTGACAACCGATAAGACATTAGATATCTTACAAAGGGATATTAAAAGGATAATAGAAGAGTATGAAAGAGATTTTAAAAAGAACAAGTATATTTAAATTTAAATTTATAGATTTAAATATCATTTCAATAAAATAAAAATTTATAACTATAATTTATTCATGAAAATTAACTAAAATTTTATTCACAGAAAATGCAAAGCATGGTTAAAAGATGCTTTACACCATAAAAGTCAATATACAACTTTTTGTTGGACATCTGCATTAGCTCTTCTCATAACAGCTACTGTGATAATTATATCCTTTTTTACCGGAAATAATTACTAGTAAGTAAGAAACTTGACAAATACTTAGATTTTAAAATTAATAACATATATCATATAAAAAATATGAAAAAGAACGATCATTAAAAAGAAATATTATTCATTAAAAAGAATATTTTTATATGATTATGATTTAAATTCATGAATAATAAATAATTAATATAATTATGTATTTTAGTATTTCGTATTGGCCTTTCGAAGGGATCATCATCCTGCTTCTTATTATGTTTAATTGTATTTTAGTAATCTCTGATAACAGGTTCCGTCATTTTGAAATTCTTTATAGAGTGAAAAGTCTCATTAAACAGATAGAAGGTAATTTTTTACTAACCATTAATATCATTATTGTCTTCTTAAAGAATTATTTTATAAATAAAGACCTTTATATATAATTTATATTATATATATAATAAATATATAATATATATATATATATATAATAAACTACCATTCATCCTTATATTTTATTATTGTATGATTTTTAGTTGCTAAATCAAAATCTGTATGGAAGGCAGAAAATTATCCACATTTATGTAGCCCACTTTCACCTTGCATTACTTTGCAGTGGACATATCGAGATGGCCATGTGGTTAATTTACCATGGGCTTTATTAGTTGCTGGTGATATTATTGTGATGAAACCTGGACAACCAGCACCTGGTTACAGTGTACCTTATGATGTATGTTTAAAAAATAACACATTTAAGTATTTATCTTAACCTTAATAATATTTTTAAAGTAATTTTCGTTAAGAGCTTTACACCATTGTATTAAAACTATTTTACTTAGTGAATAGTTACTAATTATACATCTATACAACAGAATTATTATCAATAGAAAATTATAAATTTTTTGTTAATAAAATGAATTAAAAATAATGGTTGACTTAAAAAAAAAATTAACTATTGAATTCAAATTATTGCTTTAATCATTGATACATATTTTTTAATTACTTATTTTAAGAAGAAATATTTTAAGTATGTTATAATTTAAATTTAAATCCATTACATATACTTTTTTTTTATTTAAACAATATTTTACCAAAAAAATATGTGGTCAGGATGCAGAGGCACCTGTGCTGCATGCGCGTGACATATACAGTCCATTGGTACACAGTGGCAGTGGTCTTTTCACAACACCTCAGGCCCGACAACCTCTAAGTAACAAAATTTACAAACTCCAAGAGACGCCCTACTTGACTAACTTGCGTATGGGCCTTGACATGGCTTTGGATCGGCCAGTAACCTACCATAATCGAGAGCGTCACCTCGTAATGATCTGTTGCATTGAACAGCTCATTTATCCCATCCTCCTTATAATTATACTCATTTTCAACCTTATTCGCTACCTCTACCTTTACGATTATGTTGGCATCGGACATTGGACGGAGTTATTCCTATTACAGCCGGTAGCAATTACGCTACCACTGTTGCCTGTTGCCTTTCCCATATGGTGGATTGTACTCAACTGCTTTGGTATGGCCAGGTTCAAAGCACTTTTCAAACTGTATCAATCCTCAAAGAAAACACAGGTGTGAGAAATTTACACATATTTTATTTTCAAACATAGAGCATATTTATATAGAAGAATTCTGATAATTTTGAATTGAAGATATAATATAGCCACTTTAGCATATTTAAAAGCATTGATCATTTGATCTGAACTTAAATTCACATTCACTTCTAATAAGTTTATATTTGTGTAATTATACTTACATATCTTATAAATTTATATAATAATTTATTAAACCATGTTATAATTCCGTAGAAAAATATTGTATTGAAAACCAAGCCTTTAATAATTATTGAAATACTTGTATATAATATTACTATTATGAAAAATTTAGTTTTTAGATCCTTTCGAAGAGAGTTCTGATCAAAATCATCCTGAAGTAGTTTATAATTGGACAGAATTATCAGAATATTTTTGGAATATTATGTTTGGTAAAGAACATATGATGACAAGATCTGCAAATATCTTACATGTATTAGGTTCAGTAACTGTAAGTATTAGTGTGATCAATTAAGGAAAGTTAAATTTTATTTTCATTATTAGAAAACATGAAAGTATTATTCATTGTATATTAATTGTATAATATTTCACATTGGTATGTGAAATACATTGAATACATTAATTTCCTAAATACAATAAAATATATCGTATAGTATTTGCATAAAGTTTTAAAATAATTCTTTTTTAAGTAAAATCTTCTACGTGTGAAATATATAACAATATGTTTATATATATTTTTTTAATATGATAATTAACGATTATTTTCTTCATAAATTAATTTTATTAGGCTTTATGCTGCATTGATAAAAAAGGAATTTTATCATGGCCAAATCCAACAGCTGAAAAAGTTTTTTTTTTACGTAACGCAAACAGTACTATAAATGCTACTAATACAGTTTCACGTACGTCAAGGTAAATACAAAACTACTGTTTATTTCTAATACTTTAATTAATTTATGTTATAATTATGTTGAAAAGTATTCTGTTTCAAAATATGTTACTTTTTAATAGATATAAAATATTTTTCGAAAAATAACATAGTTCAAAAATTTTTTTTAATCATTTAATTTGTTTTGTATCATATATTTTTCATTTTATACAGTATGGCTAGTCTAAATAAATCGGTTGATCCTAATCACCTCAGTGACAGTAAGCAGGATTCTAATAGGACTTCATACATACATCACGGTAAAGAATTTAATATAAGTTATTTGATATATTTTTTAATGCTGTTTGTTGTACATGAGAAACTTTAATAATACAAACGGATAAGTTGTCACAAACAAATTTAAATTAGATTAAATTAGATATTGATTACAAATAAACATATTTGTATAAATTGAAAAATGACCTTCACCTACCTTTAAATTGCTTGAATACATTCTACTAAAAATTCTATAAAAGATTTTCCTATTTCTTCATGCGTGGGATTCCAGTTTTCTTTGGAACTGAATATGCATTTTTTACATTTACGTCCTTTAACGTAAGCGATCATAACAGTGCTTAATTTTTTACGGTAATTCTTCAATTATTTGAAATAATATTATTTAAACAATATACAAATAATTAATACTATTGCTTGGTCTTGACAAAAAAATAACGCATAACGTTTACCTGCAGAATTGTCACAAACGATGGCGGAAGTCCTGGATTTGACTCACGATCGCGCCTTACCCTTTAAGCTACAGTTCGATGATCACTCGTGGCGTCAACACCTCAACTCTCTTAAGCCCCTCGGTCTCGCCATCCTCCTCAACACTTGCAATATGGAAACGCAGGAACATTACACTCAATTCTGTTGCCATGTCACCTGCGAGGCTTTATATAATGAGAACCTTGTACCCGTGACAAATAGACGGTATTATTTGACTGTCATATTTGTATCACTTGGAATAAATTCATTTATAGATCAAAGATGGGCAGACAATGTAAATTGATCATGTAATCAAGAAAAATATGCATTACATTTGATGTTGAATATTGATGATCCTATAATCGAATTTTTAAACGGAATATAATTTTTTGGAAATGAATATCTTATTTAGTTCACATTATATCTAATGCTGCTTTAAATTTTAGTAATAATTACAGCTCTTATATATTCTGACTTTTTATGTATTGTAAGTCATACTTTAATAAATAATATTATGAAAGAATGAAGGTCCTTTTTTAAATTGAGATACATCGAATAAAAATTAATATCAATACTTTTAACATCAACTGTAATAAATTAAAATATACTGTAATTTTCGAATTATAATACAGTTTTACATTACGTAATAATTTGAGTATAAAATAAACAATTAATTTAATTAAAAGGTAAAAAATTATTATATAATTTTATCAATGTATTGTAAACTCCAATTTTATCAAGACAATAATTTTTTGATACAATTTAAATCTGTCCCATCATTGTTCGCATAATGTCGAGTAACTTGTCCTAGTGTCAAATGTTTGGCATTTGTGATAGCAATAGCTTGTTTTTTCTTTATTGTGTTAAAGTGAATGAGTTAGTTTTTTGTTTAACTTTTTTATTGTTTAGTTTTGCGAATGTATCACAGACCACTAAAAAATTATCTCTAGTCTCTGAAATAATTTTCTGTTTAAATATATTTTTTTATTTATTTTTCAGTTTCAATTAGAAACTGCACATCAATTTTTAGTATCGATTTTATTATAATTATAACAATTTCATATTTTATCTAATATTAAGAACTGATTTAAAATAACAATGTAATATTATAATTTATAGTTCAATAATTCGATAATAATTAATATATATTTATTTCATATACGTCATTTATAGTTCTAATCTTCAGTTAAATTCGTATTCATCTGTTATATTAAAATTAGCAAAAATATAACATATTCATTTACTTCCAATTCATTTTATCGTTGACGTTAAATTTACTCCAATAATTAAAGAAAAATTCAAGCTTAATAAAATAATATTAGATTTATAAATATTTCCGAGACAGAGAATTAAAAAAACTTTTTGACATACATTATGTGTTGATTGGATTTTCTTAATCTATGGCTATTCTCAATAAAGCTACAAATACAAAAGAAAGAAACATACTAAAAATAGCGCAGAAAAAAACCCACATTAAACAAAACTAGATACTTGTTTGTATTCTACCTCGACTAACAGCAGATGTGAAATATCCAAAAATTTCACTACCAATTGCCAGGCAAGCTCTGAGGATAAAAGTGGGTATGAAGCAAAAGATACCGTACAAAGCTCGAGGCAGATGTATTTAGTCGACGAGTCAGGATGCCTCGGACAAATGTGGTCAGTCGCTATTATCAATTAAAAACGTTTATTATGTATTACGTAAATATCACCTCTTCGACACTTTTAACGTGTAATATCCTGTGGTCTTTTTGTATTAGGGTACGTCACGGATAATCGCATTCTTAATAATGTCTTTAACACATCATTTATTTGTATGATTCTACCATGTTTTAACTATTTTATCAACCAATAATATTCCATATTTATATTTATATTTTATAATGTGATTTTGTTGGTTGTTCCATGTATAAAAGTTCATAAGAATCCAAATTATTACGAATGGTTTACTGCATAGAGTTTATGAAAAATATTTCAAAACTATACTATAATTTCAATAGTAAATATTGTCACACATAATTCTACAAATAAAATAAATTCAATTTCGGAATAGTTAATTTTATTATCAATTAAGTTCTAACATCGTATTAATATGTATTTTCCAATTTCATTATTTACTTTAAAATAACAAAATTTTGCAGAAGACCGAATTACAATTAATGCGATTTTCCGCGAAGTATCTGATCATCGTTTGTATTGTTAGTTGGTTTTGGGAAAATAATCTGCACATTAAATATCCTTCATATTCTATTCTCTCTTCTATACAAGCCGAGTATTCTGCTTAGTGTGCTTTCTCTGGATTATTTACTTACTTGTAGTTACTCCACGTATATTTGGAAAATAGCTTCAAACTTGTATAGCTGTTTATTATTTTGTGCAAATTACCTAATGTGTGATTAATGTTAAGGTGCCTCTGCGAATTAGCAAAACAAATTGGATTCAAAGATCAAGCGAAGGAAATATTTCATCTAGAGCAACAATTGTCTACGTTCAGGCATGTAGTAAGTATCTATTGGTAAAGAATTATGTATTGAATTTTTAGATTAATCAGAATGACTTATATTATAATCGTATGACAATTCAACGAATATCGAAGGATATTTTAATTGTCCTAAAAGTAGTTATTTAAAATCTCTATATAGAACATAATATATTTTTTCATAATAATACAATTTTTTATAACTTGTTTTTGTAACAAAAACATACGGTTTTCTTTTTAACAAGAAATAATATTTTTATTTTATTATAATATTTTATTTATTTACATATTATTGTAAATATTAAAATCAAATAAAATCTATTCTAATACAAACATATCGTCTCAAGTTAATATTATTAACTTTATTATTAGTAGTATTAATAATAAAGAACAATGGTCTTAGTTTTCTTACTGAAGGTAAAAAATATCTACTTTAGCAACCAGAAACTGCAAAACGAGACATAAAATTTGCACGATCACTGAGCATCTCGACAAAACTAAAATTTCCCTTTCCGCACATGGTGGCAGTTGTCGTTAGAGAAAGAAATGGCGGTGGTCTGCAGTTACTTTCACAAGGCACCGCAGACATCATTCTGGATTCATGCATCGAATTTTGGGATGGACATGATCTCTGTCCCCTGTCTGAGCCTGACAAGTATTCTTTTTATGTTGATCATAATTTTTTAGTTATTCGCTCATTTTAAAATGCTATTATTTGTGCGCATATTTTTTCATATTTTTATCAAAATAATGACGATTTATTATATCATTGGACATTATTTTAGATTTTTAGAAATATTTTTGGAAATTATCCAATTTGATTCAATATGTGCTATATTTTAATTTTATTGGTAATATAGTAAAATTGAAATAATTGTTGCACAAAGATTGAACTCATTTAAAAAATTAAGCACGGAATATCGTGAAATATTAAATTTTCAAATTTTCTATAAAGCAATAAATATAGTGAATTGATATTGGCCAATATTGTTTTTCTAACTGAAACTTCATTTAAATCGACTATAAGTATTAAATAAATTACTTTTTTCTTATTACTATCTGTAACCGAACTTCGAAATTAAAAAAATAAGGCATACAGGATTTAAGAGTCATTAATGTAGCAATTAGGTATGACAGCTATATTATACTTAGTTATGAAATAATTTACTTCTCAGAAAAAAAGTACAGGATTTTTACAACCGCACGAGCCTAACATCATACTGCACTGCATTTGCATACAGACCTCTTACGCGAAACGTTAACAATAAGTTGTCAAGCATGTACCTGGAACTTCCATCAGAGTGTAAGCATCTTTATACACCACATAGGAGTCCAACGCCACTTCCCTGGGACTTTAAGAATGTGCTCGATCCCAGGATTAAAGGACTCCTCGGCCAATTTCATTCTACCGGTAAGGAAACACGACTTTTCAAAGTACTCGTAAACATTTGCAGCATAAATGAAAAGTGAACGAATAATAATTTTTCAATTTTTGATTTAGTAATCTACAATGTGTATTATTACTACAACATTCCTTTTTTTAGATTCTCTTCTTTGCAATGAAATCAAAGAGGACGAAATTAACAGTATTGATAGTTGTTTTGAGCTTCAATGCAATCAAATTTTTATTGGAATGGTAACAATGCAATATCAAGCTCAAACTGACATGGTAATTTTCACTCTTGTCATCTATTAATAATTTCATCGCAACTTTTGCATTATATTATTGAGAAAAGTCTTTGATATTAATTGAATTGACTATTAAAGATCAGTTAATCATAAGATTGAGCATTAGTTTAGTTTGAGTGAGTGCAAAATTTTAATCCTTTAATTTATAAATAATAATTTTCAATGTTACTAGGTACAATTGATAGAGCAATTGGAGCATGCCTGCATCAGGTTCGTGCATTTTAGTAAAGAGAATGAGTTGCGGTCACGTGTCTTCTCTGAAAAAATGGGATTGGAAAGTGGCTGGAACTGCCATATTTCGCTACTTAGTGAATGCGCAAGGTATTGATGTCCGCCCCGTTCAAACTTGGCAAATAAATTACTAAAAAATTCTTTAATTCTCGTGTCGGGATGCGGATAATTATCTATAGATGTCAATATTGTAATCGCTCTACAGAACGCGAAATTAATACATGCTAATTTAAACGATTAAAATTTAAAAAATTGATATACATTTATAAAAAAAATTTGACACTTTTAATCTAATGCTTGAATAATAATAAATGACATCTGATTTTACGTATGATTTAAATGAGATTAACTTGCGTGAGAGATAATATTTATTTGAATTTGTTTTCTTTTTATTATTTTCATTACTAGATATTATTGTTTACACATTTATGTGGATATGTAATTTCTTACAAATAGTCTTACTTATTCCTTTTTTCTGTCTTTAACTTATTAATCCTGAGTTCTTAATTTCTTTTTCACTCAATTTATATACAAATCAAGAAGTGAAATGAGCATGTACATTACAGCAAACAACAATGGCTCGAGAAACTCCGATTCGTGTCCTCGTCACATATTCACTTTTTCACTCATTCGTCACTTTTTCGTTATTTGCTTTTTCATTTGCGCAATTAATAACGCTTGTTGATTTATTCGATGCTTTGATTCACTATTTTTAAACTTTCTGTCCACTTTTAAAACATATACTAAAAAGAAACTAAAATCCAATATTTACCTTTTAACCTATATACCTCAATCCATGTTTTTACGGCTTAATAGATTTGATAGATTTTTTTAAAAGTTTTTCTATTCGCTTTAGAGAATGAAAGGATAACATTAGGTGTCGTTATTTCAATTTTATGAATATATCTTGACATCAATTATCGCATTCCATTTTTTCAATATATTTTCAAGTTTCTTTTGATATGTTATTGGTCAATAGTATTACTTTATCTTATAATTGATATCGAAATGATGTAAAATTTAGAAAAAGTATCTTGATAAAAGTTCTCTATTTATTAATATAAAAATCACACGCAATTAATTGATGCCACTTAGCGATGCGACTCAGGCTATGTATTTTACAAAGATAAGCTCAAGGGTCGTGTTCCTTTCCTCTCTTAATCAAAATTGCAACTAAATTACTATAACTCGCTGAAATATCTACAACTCACCATTCCTCACGTAATATCTACACGATAAAAATGCAATTTTAAAAATGTAACCGTATTCGATAATCATCCGAAAAAACAACAATACTATTCAATGCAAAACTGAAATTAGCAACAATACACAATGTACTAACAGGTCCGAGAGTCCAGTGGGCTGGTGGGTGAGCCAGGCAGCCGCCATGTCCTCGCCCACGCCCTCGACCCGCTCGCTGCTACATAATCACCCCTGCATGGACGAGGCCAGTCAATTGCTTAAACGCGTGTCCCCTCGGTATGTCTTGCCATTTCTACGCATAATAACCCATTTGCGTATCATCTATTCTTTATTAATTGGTAATTTCGGATTTGCTAATGAATCATTACGTAGACTTTTATGCACTTTTATTTTGATTCAAGTTGAGTTTTCATTATCTAAAAGAGACTTTGGATTTTGCAATTATAAAGACATATAGAACAAATATGATATTATTAATGAATGTTTTAGGAATTGTAAGATAAACATTATCATTGCTTCTTATTTATAGAAGGAAATTATACATTTTAAAGCAGTCAAAGTACATTATAGTGAATTTTGAATTTTAATGATTTATTTATTGCACACTTTTCTAAAAAATAATGAATTTATGAAAAATTAAAAGTTTTATTTAGTTGTATTAATCCCTAAAGCAATATAATTCTTTTATACAAGATAACTGTATGTATTAGTTGTAAACAATTTTAATAATTATGACAATGACTAATCGTTTAAATATGGTACATATAAATGGTAGATTTTTTTAACCTGCACAATCTGTGAAAATGGCTAAAATAGAAGACATAAAATTATTGCAGTGCATGGATAATTTCAACTTTATAAAGAATGTGAAGATTCGCATTGATATTACCGAAGTATCAACAGTTTAATAATTTCGATAGATTTTGATGTTAGTAATAGAATTTTGAAAATTTTGTAATCAATATATGTATTAATCCTATTGAATTAATTATGCATATAGACAAAAGAAAAACTGTATTATCAAATATGTTTACAGTATGCGAGAAATCGTAAAATTCAAAGAGACAAATTCTAAAATATTTTTATTAAAATTAAAATATTATAATTGAATTATGTGCATTATTTTATTAACTAGCATTAATACATTGTATTTAAGTGCAAAAAATCTTTTTTTATCTTGCACTGTATAGTATAAACTGTTCAGATAATAAAATACTTTGCAATCCTCGGAATCATGCATAGTTTTATAACTATTTATGAATGTGTGGTTTGGAGAGAAAATAGTCGTGCATGCTAATAGGACAAAAAGAATTTAATATACGTAACTAAGATTTGAGACCTCATTATTGTGTTATGAACTAATTTTCCCTGCTATTAGATAAATTGGGCTCATAGGTTTAATTTTTTTTATATGTAACAAATATTTATTAAAAGTTATCCTTCAATTTAAGTATACGTATGTAATTGATTTCTGTAATTATTTTTCATTGTACAATTATTGGAATAACTTCAATATCCCGTAACATTAATATTGTTGAAACTTAATACAAAACACTATAATCGGATCTTTCTAGCAGAATAGATTCAGCCTATCTGAATGCATTCTATGTGATGTTTTATTATTGTTATAAGCATTACAACCTCCGTATAAAATTTCAGCTCAAATCTTGACAATAGCAGGGCGATGAGTATGTCAGCGCCCAGTGCGATTAATATGGAAATGTCAATCGTGAAGTTTGAAAACGAGACGATCGAGTGGAACGGAAGTTCCGTTCGAGGAGAACGGAATGGCGGAGTAGTTGAAAAATCACTGGCGAAAAGTGCGATGAGTCATAGGTAAGAAGAGCGTTAATGGAATGTTTTAAAGGTATTCTGATAAGATAAAGGACTAGAGTTAAAGAGTAACTTTATAAAAATCTGTTTTAATTCATGTTTGAGTTTCGTCCACTTCATTCATGCTATTCGTGATCGTTTTTATATTGAGCAAGAATTAACGAATTTTTCATTTCTTCTCTAAATGTATAAATTAATGTAAGTCAAAATTTTTTTATTATTTATGCACGTCAGCTTTAATTTCGTCGAATAAAAGGAAAACTCTGGAGATCCATCGATGTTTTTGTAATACATTTTATTATATTTAATAACCTTTTATTGCATTTGAGTATATATTATAGTCCATATACCTTTTTAGCTTGTATCGTATAAAAAGATTTTTTAATTATCACGCTATCAAGCATTTGACTTGGCTTAGTATTGCACAGTAAATATGCTTCGAAACTAGCAATGAACATCATCCCTTGATTATCTATATATAATGAATTAGTCTAGTGGATACAAATATTAAACATATTTTATTTAAAAAAATTTGATGTATACTTTTGACAAATATTTTTGTCGTCAATATATCATAGAAAACCTGGAAGGACTTAAGAAATATTTCAAAATATAAGAAATACCCGTAAACAAAACGGCTTTTGTTATTTTATCACATTAAAAAAAACATACTTTAGAATAGATAGAAAATTATTTTAAATATTGAGTTGAAATTTCAATTTCAGTTTCAGATCTCACTGTTTAATCTTTTCAGTTTATTTTCAGTCATTAACAAAGAAAAGGATATTTTGAGATACATATCGAATATTAATACATGGATTCTGTATTTGGCCTTTTAAATTAATATCGTTATTGTATTTTTATTTCTTATATTGTTTTATATTGCATTTGTTGAATGGATCAACATAATTTTAAATCATTGATAAGCAATTATAAATATTTATTGTTATATGCACTGTCAGGAAATTTGGTGCATCGAAAAACATTAAATTATTTTTGTATTTATGAACCGATTATTGCACATTGCTGTTTGTAAATGTTTACATACAAATAAATTTTCTATTATACTTTTTTTCTTGTGATATTATATATCATCATTAGAAATACTCTATATTAATTTTTTATTAAAAAATACCCAAGCTACAAAATATGTAGATTTTTAATTTAGAGTAATTTAGAGTTTGTATTTTTAATACGTTATGTAATTATAATATCAAAAAGAAATAAAACTGTTCGATTTTTCTATAATCGATCAACTGGATTCAGGCAAGCCATTATCACTAATTTTATTTAACCCCAACTTTTTTTAAAATACAATTGCAATATAAATATATAATCTAGCAAAGTTTCATACCGTGCAATTAAGTTTCTAATGAAAATTTAGTCAATACTATTCTGTAGTCAGCATTATACAATTAAAAGTTTCATCTGTAGTATAGGTTACATATGGAATAAAATTTGAACCATAATCTCGTTAAGATCGCGAATTTTTAATTTTGGTAAACATTACGAGCGATTTTCAGTTTATATTTTGAGAAATAATGCAAATAGCAAATATAAAATTATGAAAATTATGGGCTAATGTATAATTTAATTTTTCTGGTATTATCTTCGAAAAAAATTGTAAAAAACTGCATTTGTTTATTACTGTTATCTACTGATATTTTTAAAGATATATATAATTGCGTTCAAATTTGATTAATAATTCATAATGTTATATATTATTTTTTATTCACGCAATAAAAAAATTCATATATTCAATGAAAAAAAAAGTGTTATGCTGCTTATATTATTTTGCAATTATTTGGCATATTATTGCATTAATAAAATATATTATAATGAAGTATAATATAAATTGCGAATATTGAGTTAAAAATACTTCATATACAAACTGTACACGAATTTTCGATTCAATTAATTAATATTTTTTTATTTTAAAATGAAATTTATATTATTTGTAATTTGTCATGTATTGAACAATGCTAATTAATAAATTTGCTGCTCCTTCATTTTTTTCAATCCAATGCATCGTGGTATTATAAATATTAAATTATATTTCCTATCGGGATTACTTATTAATTGCCGTTTACACTTTGAGGTTAAAAATATAAACTTATTTTATGAATTTCAAGTGTACTAACTCGTAATATAAAATAAGTCACTTCTTTCTTTCCTTTGCCTTTTTAATATAAGCCCTAAAGAATACCACATAGCATTAGTTAACAAACATAAATGCCATATCATAATAAGTAATTAAAAAACAATATATGCTTAGGATACGATGTGAAATGCCACAAATTTACAAGCGATAATATTTCAGGGAACAAGAGATAGTGCGCAGCGAGGATAGCGTACTAGTCCAGAGCATTGACCTTGGATCTGGTCAAGAAGCTTGGAGATCCTTGAGTTGCCTAACCGACAGCACTGAACAGAGTGCACCAGTCAATTTCGATTTATCCAACAGAGTCAGTTTTATCAATATCCACTTCCTTTTCAACGGTGCTTTGTGTTTCTACAACATAGAGATGGAGATGTGTAGTGCAGAATAAAGTCAATAACTTTATTACATTATTATACAGAAAATAGTAGCTATTAATAAGTTTGGCAAATCCAAAGATTCATAAGAATCATGAGTGTCATTACAACGGAAGGGAATTTACTTTATGGTGGGGAAGAAATAGCTTAAAAAAGCCTGAATGAATTCTGAGCAGCTACAATGTCTACCTCTTACTGCGATATTGACTATTGAAATGTTTTGAAAAAAAAATTAATTCTACACATGCTACGCTAATAAAATATTAAACAATTGAGTTAGATTAATAATTTAACTATCGTAATAATTCGTAAATCAAAATTGCGATCAATTTTCAGGCTAAATTACCCCGAGGAATTGACAAAATTCGTCCACATATCGAGTTGATTGACAACGTGCCGCTACTCGTCTCACTCTTCACTGACTGCAACACTGCTGTGACGCGTGAAATGCTGCACATAATGCAAGATTTCGGCGAAGTCGTCTGCGTCCTTGGATCGTCTGCGAATTCCGATAACATGCCGATTTTCATGCAAGCCGATGCTGCGTAAGTAACATATTCGTTTGGCCGGGAAAGAAGCTTTATTACACTATTTTTAATTTCAATTAGATTTAGTATAGAGTACTTTTGTCAACCACACGAATGCGATAAAGAACGATTTATCAAAATTTTAGCTTTATGATTCTTTTCAATTTAGAATGGTTTGTTGGACTCTTTAGGTAATTGGATCGAAAATTCATATATTCCAATGCATTTTCCCCTTGACGTCTCATAAAACCACATATTTCATCAAATAATGAAATAATTTTTTACGGCAATTTTTATAAATATTTGATAACTACAGAGGGGAAGGGGGTTCGCTTGCACTTACTAAAATTAAACAATAGTAAAAGCGGTGTGTCGATTTAGATTTACAAATAAATTTATTTACAGACTATCGATTAAAAGTCGTTCATTTCCATCGAAACATTATTATAAGAAAATCATCGCAACAACAGAGCGTGTAGGTCATATTCAGACAATGACGGTGAGTATTAAATTAAATGCTGGTCGGATAAACTTATTTGTGAAATTTTCAAATTTCCACATAAAAAAATGGCGAGACTCAGTTTTTCGTCGTCAAATCGCCCCCGATGTTGAGGCGTTGTAACTTGTCGATCGTGTGTCTCATGGATACGCTCTTAGAGTGCTTATGGCGCGTGCAATAGGACACCATATATACTGTCTCCATGTCCGAGGGCGACCTCTTTGCCCGGGTGAAGTTGCTCCTCGGCCTGATTACTCGGTGCGGGACATTCGGCTTCTTGCCAAAGTCGCTCCCTGAGATGTTAGGTTCGCGTTTGGATCGCGATTTCGTCCCCGATGAATCGCCTTGACTCGGCACTTTACTCGCATTAAGCGATGATTTAACGGTCATTGTACCTTCGGTCTCTCCCTTGGACATTGTTTTCAATGATAAATTTATTAGACCTCTTCTTTCAAGAAGATGCCGAAATGGCGACAACCACGAGGAAACAATGACGAAGCGGGACCAGTCGTTTGGATGTAATTTCATATCATAGTCCACTTTATCGATCCTATCGAATGGTCCAATTGACAAAGCGGTTAAGGCTACGAGTGTTATGATAAGGGGTGAGAGAGTGGGCGAGGCAAATTTGACAAATAAATGTTTCGGTTTAATTATCTTAAAGTATTTTACAGGGATAGGAATTATTTCTTCTAATCGAATAAGCCAAGTTTATTTTAAGCTTTACAAACTCGTTGCTTCGTTTTTTACAAAGTCTGCTGAAGTGATCGCGGCATCGGTTATGACAAAGCCTCCTAATTATCAACCACTTCGCCCTGTCCAGAGTACCATTATCATGGTTCGCCCGCCTATACTCCTTAGAATTATATATATATTTTTTTATTCAAAAAGCGCAGATCAGATCGAACACTGAATCGACAGCCATGATTACAATTAAGACCGTGCAAAGTGTGATGGCCAATGACTCGAGTACCAACACAACCGAAACTGTTGTTCCTCGTCTTGCAGTGTTGCCGTGGAGCCGCTCTACCCTCAAGTGTGCCAAAAAGTGCCTGTCTTGGCGCCGATCCGGGCGGAGGAAGGACCCTCGCCGATCGATCTCAGCCGCAACCTTAATTCCATCGCATGCTCGCTTAGCGTCAAGCGTGAGGATCCCATTGCCATCTACCATCTCATAATGGAGGTAGTAACCTTTTCGTCTTATACATCCTCTCCAGATTTAACACCTCTCCTACAATATAAAGTTCGCGTTTTCGGCTTTGAAGATAACCTCACGCGACCAACTCCTATTCGTTCCGGTTGAAAAAATTTGATGCCCTCGTATTCCCAATGGAACTTTTGCACGATTCTGCATGTTCTCTCATTTCTCTCATTAATTGCATTATTCTATTATTTAAACTATGCGTCATTACCTATTTTTGTGCTTCATGATTAACGACAATAAAATCGATAAATGGTTGTTCGATAGGCCCGCCACTACATGAAGTGCCTATGGAATTGCGTACAGTTCTGGTTGTGCTGTTTGGTGACACTCGCCTTCGTCCAGGCGCTGTCAGCATTTCTCCTGCTCCCGCCACTCTTCAGCGTTGGCCAGGTACTCTGGCTCAGCTTCCTCATCGTACCGCTGCTCTCGGCCTCACTCGTCGGCACGCCCACCGACTCCACCATAATGCAACGAGCCACCGGCAAAAACCAGTGCGCCGTCAGTGGACAGGTTCAAATTTCCATTACCATTGGCTAGGTCGCGCTTTGCCGTTGCTCGTCTTCGCCCACTTTTTTAAATAAAAATCTGTAATAAGGGAATATTGGCGCCCTATTGAAAATTCGATTGAGCAAGGGCGCAGGATGCAATAATACTACTATAATGGATTAATACATATTCGCGATTTTATTGATTTGTTCGCAACTCATTATTTGAATAAAATGGAAAAATTAATTCGAAAACATTATAATAATTTAACGAAAATTTATTTTGATTTAATCTCGAGGAAGTAGGATTGCGTAATATTTTATTCCTCAATATTTTTTTGTAATTTCAAACTTATTAGGTATATATGAGGAATTCATTCCATTTATTTAATAATTTAACCAATGTGCATTGATTATTAAAATCTTATGTCAATTATTTTCAATTAATATTTCAATTGTCTTTGTTCAAACTGTCAACTTTTGAAATTATTTTTCGCGTGCAAATACTTTTCATTGGAACATTCAAAAAGTTTACCAAGTACGAAATTTTAACCATCAAGTAGGTGCTTACAATAAAAGAAATGAATAATATCTCGCCTGTACATAATAACTCGTAGTTTCAATATACGAATCTAAATTGAAAATTTACCGACTCGCGATAAGATGTGCGAACTTTTATGGGATAGCAACTAAATGAGGCACCTGCACTTTATAGAGTGGCATAAACTAATTCAATTACCATTATGTGATTACATGTCCGAAGAAAAATAGTCACAGCCATAACATGAATAAGCACTTACTTTGAAACTTTATATTGAAAATAACGAATAACAATTTTGTTTGACTAATACTTTCTTTTAATTTTATTTTACACATGAAACTGTACTTTTTACTGATATCGAGAAACGAAGTCCATTGTTTAAAAAATTAATTTAAAATGACAAAATGATTGAATTAAAATAATTAATTTTTTTTAAAAAAGGATAATTTAAACAAAAATTTTTATAAAGTTTTGATTTTTAATTAAATTTAATGAGAATAACGCTATGAAATATTAAAAAATTTTCACCATAAAAGATTTATGCATTATAAACTAGTCTGCATCTCTCAATGTTTAATTTGCATTATAACATTTCATTTTAAAACTAATTACTGTATTTTTTTTTTGTTTTTTTTTTGAAAAGGTGGCATTATTTGTCTTATGGTGTTACGGAAGTAAATTCCTTCCGACAATAGTTACGGTACTGATATGGCAATGCGTTTCCTTGTTTATATTATGTTCGACATATGCTAAGACCGGCACTCAGTGCTTCTACGTTTACCCCAATGTCACCGGTGAATTTTCTTGGGGCGGATGGAGTCTGAAACCCGATGTACTGTTAATTGTTCAAAATATTGCACTTGTAATCATTGTTTTACACTTTGGTAAGTGGTCTTTTATATGGAATTTTAATATTAACAAATTCTAAAGAGAGTTAAAATTTATGCCACGAGAAGGGAAATTTAAATGTATTTAAATTCAGTTTCATTAATCAACACAGAAAGTCCTTTTGGGTTTCTAGACCAGATATTAAAATATAAATTTTCTAGAAAAAAATATAAAACTTTCTATAAATTCAGAACATTATTTCCTTTGATATTTCAGTTGTAAGAGAAATATTAATTTACAATTAAGATATTCCTATATAAAATTATGTTTATTTTGAATTTCTAGTAACTATATCGCTAAGTTTTGTCCATCGAGAATATTGTGTATGGCGAAAATTGCCCTTTAATAATTGGATTTGGTTTTTAACTTCTTTTCTAGTGTACGTATTTCTAAGTTTTTATTAATTATAATTTCGTCTTTTATAGTACATAAATATAAATTAAATAATTTTTTATAGGATATGCATGCAAACAGCTTTTTCAGGAAGTAATTTATGTACTTATTGGAAAGATGAAGACCAAAGAATAGAAACTTTTCCCTTACATTTGCCACTCTACTTTATTACTACATTACCAATTATCTTTTTTATTAATGAATTCATCAAATGGCAAGAAATTAAGTAAGTTAATGAATATAAATTAATCTTTGTCAAATTTCATATTATTAGCTATCTTATAAATTAGAAACGATATTCTTTCGATAGATATCTAATCATTACATTTATTTGAATAATTAATGCAATTTCATTAATGATTTTATTTTTAGAGTCAATGTTAGATATCAAAAGCGAGCACGGTTAGAGTTTACTACGAAGCTCGGCATGAACTCCCCATTTTAATACAATTCCAAAAGAATGAGAACCGATGGAAAGACGTATTTGAGTTTTATAATTTAATGCCAAATATCATTGATTGACTGTGTAATGTAATCTATTATGTATACTCTTAAAAAAAATTTCAGTACAACAGTACACTAGAAGGTTCTCTATTTTATCGTTAGGAAAAAATGTATTATATATATCAGGACTAAGACCATTTTAATATAATCTTTAAGGGAAATCGTTGATGCTCTCTCTCTCTCTCTCTCTCTCTCTCTCTCTCATGTGCGCTCTTATTATTTTATAACAATATACTGACATTTTTACATAAACTTTGCTTAGGATTTGTTTAGGATTCGACTGTGTTAAGAATATTTTAATTTTTTATATATTTAAAAATTATTTTTTTTATCAATGTACCAAAATAAAATATGAAAATTAAAATTTTTCACGGAAAGAATTTTTTAATATTGTTAAATAATTTTTTTAGAGCATTATTAAACTTATTTATAAACTGTATTGATGAAGAAAGGTATTTAATAAAAAACATTAATGTTTTATTATTTTTATGATACATTGTTAAAACAGCTGAATTCTTATTTTAATTTTATATTTCTTGATATACATGTTTCCCTTAAAGTAAAATTTAAATATACTTCTTTTAATATTTTTTTATTGCTTCATTGTTTTAATCTACTAAAAAAAATTCTATAACTATTAAGTACTGACATAACTCATTACTAAATGATTTTTTTTTAATAAATGTGTGCGTGTGTATGTGCGCAGGTGTTGCACGTGTAGTTCCAAAAGTTGTTACTTTTAAGATAAATCAATACAAAAAAATTTATATAATTATTAATATTACACTTTAACAATTTATTTTCTTATAATAAACACATATAAAATATAAGTATTTTAGACTGAGAAACCAAGTTTGAATTGAATTTCATAAATTAGTTGAGTAAGCAATCTTAGCAAAATATTAATTACTAATTGTAATGTATTTAATGAAAATTCAAAACAGAGTTCTTTTATTACTATTGATGTCCGTAAATAGTACTTTTTTAATGTGAATTTGAATTTTGTAAGAATTTATCATTTTATTCTATATTTTAAAGAATTTTTAATAATTAAAAGTATGTTTTAAGATACTTTTGGATTTTCATTTTCTCATTAGAAATATAATGACCGAAACTTTTAATGGTGCGCACAATTAATTGTTCTTAATATTTTGTTACGTCTATTTATTTTTGTTTTCACAATCTGTACATTGTAGAAATATTGTATGTAAATCTTAAAGGTACAATTTAGTATTATATTTATATTATATAAAATAATCAAATTTATTTAGTATTCTATAATTATGAAAACATTACTTTAATTATTTTTATTTTAATTAAAAATGATATTAAGATACATTTATTAAAATAGAAACAACTTTATTTTTAAAATAATTAAATAATTATATTCTACATATTTAATACTGCAATGTACCTTTAAATTATCTAAACTTGCCTATGTATTTATGCATTTATATATATATATATATATATATATATATACATACACTTACTTATATATATATATAAATATATACACTTAAATACATTACTTATACATTTATTTACTAAGTGCAGTATTGAAATAATTAGTAGAGGGATATATAAAAATATTAATAAGTAATTTAATATTAAAAAAAAAGTTTTCATCTTAAAATTGAAGTAAACTAAGAAATAATGTCTAAAAATTTAGAAAATTACTCATTATTCTTTAACATTTCTATTTAACTTGTTATCTATAACATAATTTTTATATTATAGTATTTTTTATTTATTGATACACGTTAGTGTAATTATTCACTATAAAATATTTTTATTTTTTCACATAATCTCTTATTTTTATTTAATAATAATATTGAAAAAAATATTCATATACATATATATATAGTGAGAAAATGCAAAGTGAATTTAAGACTTTATTGTTTACAGTTTGATTTGAAATTATTAATTGAGAAGATACAAAATATTTTACTAATATAAATCAAAATTGAAAAAGTATATCAAGAGCACATGCAGGATGTTGATGAAATAAAGTATTACGGCATAATATTGTTTATTAAGTATATTTACTCAGGTTAGAAAAGAATTTACAGTTTTCTATCTCTTTATACAAATAATATGTTTATTTTCAATATGTAAAGAATATATAATGTAATAAAAATCCAAGTATTTTAAGAAATTTCTGTTATAAAGCATTTTATTTTATATTTTAAAAAATACACATAATAATTCCAAATGGTATATTGTAAATTAGGGTAACTAAAATAAAAAGTTATGTCTGTAAATAAATTATGCAAAAAAAATCTATTGTAAAATTCTTAGTAATAGAAAAGTTTTATTTTATCCTTTTTAAATGATTTAAAAATATAATTAAATTTTATATATATTTATTTTATATATGGCCAATATAATAAAAATTATTTAATCTTTTATAACTTTTTAATACTAAGGGTAATGTATATATCTATGGTCATTAAATGTGTTGAAATATTATGAAAATACAAAATAATAATTTTAAAACTGAATTTAGATGAATTTAGCAAAAATATTTAATGTTTTTATACATTTTATTAATTATTTAGATTGTGAAATGCTTCCTGTTTTATAAATCGCTTATAATATTTGTTATTTAACTTTAGTTTAATTTTATTAGTATGTGTAATTTTGAGCCATAATATTTATATTAATTACTGTAACAAAAATTTACTAAAACGATCTATGTAATTACTTTTAAATGTAAGGTACTTTAAAAGTAAGATCATAGTGTTGTATATTTACTTTTATTCAAATGCCATTGTAGTAAATTAATTTTTTTTAATCTTCTAAAGTAGATTTTTTTTTTTATTAACATTAACCCTGAAACTAAAATAATCTATATATTTAAAACTAATTTCCATGCAAATTTTATATATATTAAATAATAGTGTTAAATAATAATTAATCTCTTTTATAAATTTTTTGTTTGCAACTTTATCAAATCATATAAAACAAACTTTAATTGTAAAAGAAACATCAAGGACAATAATACTGCACAGTGCATAGCTTCATACAGTAGTTTTGGAGCAAATACACTCCAAATAAAAAGGTGATGTTTATGAAAATTTATTATGATTGTATAAAAAGTCATTGGTAAAAGTCTCCAAAACGCATATTTTTTGCATAACGATAACATGATAGATGATCTAAAAAATAGCAATTTAATGTAAATTTGTTTCTTTTAAAAATTTATTTTTTTTTTATCACCGAAGAAATTTAATAAAAAGTTATTAACTTACGGATAACAATACTGAAGTGAATTATCATATAAATACAGAATAAAACCTAAAATTTCTGCAGAATATGTATTGATAATTAAAAAGAGACCAGTAATTACTGGTTGATATGATTGAAGTCCAATGTAACCAGCTGCTACATCAATAGTTGCTAAGCTATTTGAGTTGCCCTAAAATAAACTTTTATTAATAAAAATAATTTAATTTTCCAATAATTTAAAATATTTACGAAATGATCTTTACTTGATAAAAAAAAAATACTTTGCTTGACCACAGATAAAGATATATTTTTATATCAAAATTTTTTTTATGTTTTGTTAAATAATATATTGTTATGCCAACCATTAATTGCATTGGTAGTAAAATTACGTTGTAAGGGCGATGTAATATACAAGAAATTATAATCCATTTCTTTAAAATTAAAAACAATGAAAGTGATAGAAATTTGTTTTTATTGCATCGGACGGTAATTGTTAATCGATAAATACTATGAAGAAGATAAATCGAAGTGAAAGCCCATAAATAGTTAATCTCGGCAATTCCTCTGTAAATACAAACACATGAAAGTACGACTTATTTGAATTATTTTTAATAACAATTTTGTGAAACATACCGGGAATTAAAATAAAAGCTTGGCTTGTGCACTACATTACTTACAGCGTGTCGTAAATATATTAAAATTACAATACACAAATCTAAAATAAATGTAATAGATTTATATACAATGTCTTCGTAAATAAAGTCTAAATAGACTAGTGAGGTAAGACCTATAATGTTCAATCAATAAAACAGTAAAAGAACATCTTATTTTAATATATATTAAATATTAAAAATATAAAATATACCAAAAATAAGAATTACAGTCATCCCAATATTTGAATCTTGATCACGAAGCCATCCTGATATATCAGGTAAATGTGCGTATTTATCACCAGTACTATTGAGTATTCTTAGTATTCTGTGACTAATCAACAACAATAGCAATAACATAAGTAACTTTAATGATGTTTTATGAGTATAATTTCTTAAACTATCATAAGTAAAAAATATGATTATTGTAATCCAATAAAAATACCAAGTTTGATGTTCTTCTTCGACGAAACTACTACTGCTTAAACTTAATGTATGTACTAAAGTACCAGTAGTTAACAAAATTTGAAGAACTGTTGAATCCTTTACATAAAATTAAAACAAAACTACATTATTTAATTGATAAAAAAAATAATAATAAATCAACAAACTAAAAATTATCGCACCTTAAAACTAGGCAAGGTATGAATCGCACATAAATAGCAATTTAATATCAATATTCCAAAAATAGGTATGGTAACAAATACAAAATGTGAATCTAGTTTTTGGGAAAACAAAATAGTCTCAATTTCTGAATTAAATAATTGATTTAAGAACATCCAGATAATATAACTAGTAACAAAAACAGTGAGAAACGGCCTATACAAAGTGGACGTTGACCTTTCTGTACACATGCTTATATACAAAATCTGAGAACAAAATAATCAGTTGATCAATTTATACTACTTACTACAAATTTTTAAAATTCATAAAAAAATTGTAAATTTGTATTATAAACTGACGTGACTCAAAAATACTGTGGCTAAAGTCATTGCTCGAACATCATGCTTTGATAAACTACTAGTAAGCTTATTTTTCATTTTAATAATAGCTGATTCATACATCATAATGATGTCGTGTACCATTTCGTTTGGATGACTATTTGTGTTCAGCCATGCTGCATGAAGTTTTACAGCATTTTCATAATTTTCATTGGCTCCTACGATGAAAAGATTTTTACAAAGTTTTTTATTTCATTTCGCGATTCTTTTTACTCACTAGTATACTGATAGTCATCGATCTTTTTATAATGAAGAAATAACTGTACAGCGTTATAATGTAAGATGAACAATTTTTGAGATAAAGAGAAATCATCCATTAAATCTAATATAACAGTTCCTAAATTTGTGGAAGGCATTGGAATTCCTAATAATACTGACACTGTTGGTACAATATCTATTTGAGCAATTTCTGCATTTTGATTTTTTGGTTCCTTACAAGATTTACCAAATGCTAACAAAGGCACGTGGGTCTCTTCATAAGTTGACCCACCATGTCCTCCAGAATCCTTCATTCCATGATCCCCAGACACTAAGAATAAAGTTGGCTCATTCTTTTTGTTCTGCAAATGCATACAAACTTTGGATTATTATTATACAAGGATAATTTATGCAACAGTAAATTGTTAATTTACAATGAAGGTTGTACTTATAAATTTCAAGATTTAATTTGAAATCTTTATCTTAAAAAATAAATATTTAAAAAATTGAACATTAAAATTAAATTGGCTACTAATTATATAAATCAAATTTGTATTACAAAAAAATATATTGACTAAAATTAGGTACAATTACCGATTTTGTTACATATGATTGAATAGTACCAATAATTTCATCCATTTCTTGAAGTTTTGGTTTAATTAAGGAACTAAAGGGATTAGATATGTGACCAATGTGATCAAGTCCTAAGTAATGTAAAATCATTATTGACCAATCATTTTTATTTAACTCCATTACCATGTTTCTGGTAACATTACTATCTACCTAAAAATTTAAGTTATGTTTGAATATCTTAAGAGAGAATTATACTTATATGCACTTACTTCAGTAAAATCATTTACATAAAAGGAATTTGTGCCTTCGTACCGATGAAACATACTTGGAAAAAGTTTTACCCATGTATCATCACCATAAAAAACTATATTATGTCCTTGATTTTTAATTTGCAATAAGATATTGTCAGTTGTTATTTCATTAGCTCCTAAATTTAAAACAATATCTATAAAATTTGGTATTGATCCTGTCATCATTGCCTAAAAATTTTGATTTATTTTATTTTTTAAATGACATCAGCAATAACATGTTTGTTATTATGACTATAATATTGAACTGATGAAATTATTATAAAAGAAATGATTTAATCCTATATTACTATGGTATAATAAATTTACTTTTATTCTTGGCATGGTAACTGTTGGTATATTGACTTTTGTTTTATACATACAACCTGTTTTATTTTTTAAAAGAGTGTGTGTAATGGGCATAGTTTCATTACTATTATGCCCAGAAATAAAATCCCATCTAAAAGCATCAATAACCATTATTATAAGTTTCTTAATAACAGGTTTATAAACATCATCCAATTTAATTCTAGAAATAAAATTATATTCAATAGTTTCAATATATGCCATTGAGAAATCTTTATAAAAAATTTTATAAAAAATTTACCTTGTACGATCAACGAACTTAGGAATGTTTCTCTTTGTAGCAATGTCATATTTATTATAATTAATTGGAAAAAATCCATATAAAAAAAGAATAATAGAAAATATAGAAATAACTGTAATATAATTAAACATAAAATAATCTCTGAAAAAACTTTCTTCTGAAACAATTATTATTCATTATTAATAATATAAAACGAATACAATGAAACATTTTTTAAATAAATCTTTGTTTCAATATTTATTTGCTACTTTTAGTTTTTGACTTTTTAATAAACAATTTATTCTGAGGTAACTTTCTTTTTATTACCTGTGCGTTTTTTAAAACCCTTCATATTTTAAACAGCAATTATAAGTTTTATTTCCATATAGTTGATTTGTAATAACATTTCAAGTTGCTGATAAATTTGCAAACTTATTCATAGAACGAATAAAAATGTGACTATTTTGCATTGGCATTGTTGATGACATTATTATTATTACTAAATTTATAAACGGATGTACGGTTTATGTTTCGCACTTGAAATTTAATTGCATAAAAAACAAGAAAATAATTACAAGTGTAAAAATCTATAAAATTGTTATAAACACATAAACGTATTGTTATTGCTTATGCATTCACAAATAGTTGATAAAGATTAATTTTTCTATTAAGAAATATTTTAAAGTTGAAATTTATCACATTAAAGTTAATTAGAAATACCACCTAGATGACTGTCTGGTAATTTATTAAGTAATCGTAAAACATTTTGACTGGAGTTCAATGCACTCTAGAAATAAAGTTGCGCTTGCGCGTAACAAGATGCGGGAATTCTAAGTGTTTTAACACATGACATCAAATAAATTGTTTTTGTAATATTTTAATAAATTAACGGTGTGATTAAATAAATTTTTGCTAGAAATAATAAATTTTTGTTTATTCGTACACAAGTTAAATCACATATAGTTTGCTCGTGCATTTTCTTCTACTCATGAATAGTATTTACTTTAAACATATAAATAATTGATTTTACTAATTATTTATAATTTTAATTATTGTCTGCGACGGCATGCAAATCGATTATGTTTAAGAGCCCAAATTTCATTGATGGCAGCACTAGACGAATACTTTCATCGGTCAAGTACTTTTGAATATGAGTAGTAATGTAAGTTTACCAGTGAGACGCATTCTATGAAAGGGAAATTTGTGAGGCGTGAACGAACTTAATGAAGATTTAGGAGGAAAGGAAAGGTCATGTAAGTACGTATATAATTCAAGAGATTTAATTATATTTGAACAAATATTTTTTAATTAAATATAATAATATTTCAAGGATATATGATACGTAAAGCTTATTATACTTATTATATTTTATTTCACGATTCATTATAATTAATTGAGCTAAAAATTTTCATTAATCATCAATTTTGACGTCCAATGAAAATTATTAAACATTATTTATCTATAAAGTTCATATGCCATTAAATTATTAAATTATAAAATATTAAAACAGACACGCTTTCCTTTGACAGCTAGAACACTGAACAACATTACAATAAACAGTAAATTTTGTGACTTTCTATACCTCATTTAATCATTATGTATCTTAATCGAATTAATCATTACGAAGTTATCGAGCACGATGTCTATCCTTCAACAAAAATAAGTTCAATCGTGTGTTGGGAATTTCATTTATTTTATATTTATACTACGTTTATTTAAGAAACACACAATATCTATATATTGGCATAATAAATCATAATATAAAGTTTAAAAATGTCAGTTATTTTATACATTTACAATTGTTATAAAACAAATATGCATTCTCACTAGCAGCAAAAATAACTTTTAAATAATACTAGAAATTGCTAAGTCTTTTTCATTTTAATTTTATATATCTTACTATCTTTCAATTAAAATTGATTACGACGTATGTATTACTTTTGAGACTGTGTATCTATTCTATATTTGACTACTCAGTGAAAGCTAATTTACCAACGTATAACTTGCAAGCAGTGCTTAATTATTTTATACGCTCCGTGGATCATTTGCATAATAAACATATATTTTCTAGTTTCATGTATCACATAGCTAAGCACACACTTTCAATTATAATGTATAGATCGTGATAAGGAAGTTTCTTAATTAAAAGTTAAAATTTAAGTTTTTTTAAGTCCGTATTTTAATAGTAAATGCGTTTACTCTATTATTGAAATAAAATGACTAAACAGATACATCTGTTTGTACAATGGAGCACCAACACGAATATAAAAACTGATCGATTTTCACGAAATAAAAAATAATTGAGCGGTTGGTTCTCCAGTACTATGTAATTATAAATTTAAAAATAATAAATTTCAAATTCTTCTTCTTAAATGAAATCTTTTGAAAAAAGCACAAATATTTCATAGAAGAAACAGTAAACTTCAGCGTGTAACAAACTCATAATTGAAAACTCCTTTATATGTGGTCTCGTATTTAATTAATATACGTTTTCTTTTATTAAATCTAGCCAAATTTGAAGAGAAAGAATGCAGAAGATACACTATCAATGAGCAAAATCTTTTTGCACGCTTTAGGAAATTATATACGATAAAACTATACAATAAAGTTGAACTTGATGATCAAAAATCTTATGTAAGATATTAAATTAACAGTTTATATTAACAGTAATTACAAAAATATGCACGATTAAAAGAAAAGTGCTAGTTATTAAGTAAAATCTTAAAAATCTTTTAAAAATTATTTTAAAATATATGTAATTATAAATTTTAGTAAATTAACTATGATAAGGATAGCAGCATTGAATATAATAATGTAAAATTAATTATATAAATAGGGCTTCTGCTGCTTAAACTATTTTCAATTTCTTGCAGATAATTTAATACTTATAATATAATTAGTATTAACTACTTAATGTTTTATTATAATTTTATTTAATCTGTAATAAAGTTGAAGCACCAGATACTGTTATACATTAAAATTAAAGAGTATAGGTTAATGCAACTTTGTCTCAATGTCGAAAATACATAAGGTGCAACACCTTGAAGTGACTTAGTTCGCATTAAGGGTTTGAAATGCCACTATACATCGCGCTAACTTTCAACTCAAGTACCAATAAAATTTCTGTCAATAAATTTCCTTGTAGCGTCCAGTCCTGAGAATGTCAACTCCTAAAGACATATCGAGCTCTTCCATCATGCACGTGGAATTTACGTTAAACGACAGTGACAGGATGACCAGTTTCGTGGTCTACAGTAGCGCCCATTCCAGTCTCAAATGGAAAAAGATGTGCGTGCGGAGCTACGAAATGGAAATCATGAAACAACTCCGTGGAAGCCACATGACACAGACGAAGAAAACTGCCCTGACTCGTGCGATGACTTATTATCCAGCCTATCCGGGGACAAGTCGTCGAACAATTATGAAAGACAGCTTCGAGACATTCGGTAACGATTACGAGCAGGATGTGGAATCCGACTTTGAAATAGAATCGACATACCTTTTCAAGGATCCTCCTCCCGAATCTAAGGTGAAATACATGATTTTGATGAATCAATGTCGAATGCTATAAAAAACTTTTAATTTCAAAATTTTCCGAAATTTTTTAGCCTTATTTGATCGCAAATCATCCGTTTTACTATTAAAATTCGACAAATAATCTATTTGGTTTTAAGTGTTCATCTATCAGTATTGTTGACGTGGTTAATATGTCAAACTATCTATAACTGAAGGACTAGAAAAACACTTGTAAAACAAAATATAATTTTAAGAATTTTGCTATATGAACTTTAAGATTGCCACACTTTATTTTTAAGATACAGTACGAAGGGCAAGTTCCGCATACGATTGGTAAATTTGCAAGTACCTCAACCACCTACAGTAGGCTGTGTAACGACACAATAATATAGCAGTTAATGAACAATTATTAAATTGATGTGCAAACGAAACTTATCGTTTAAACAGCCCTTGAATAATTGTTTTTCATCGCTAATTTTCGAATTTACAGTTTAAGCTTGAGCAATTAGCAGTATCATCCGAGGTGGATGAAAAACTCAAAGACAGAATCTCATCGTTGAAATCGGGGAAGACAGCGAGTCGTATAAATTTCTCAACGCCTGAACGTCTCAGATTAACCGCGACAATGCCCGAGCTGCGGAGCTTGAGCCCAAGTTTGAACAAGTTAAAGTTGTCATGCTCTTCATCATCGCAAAATGGAAGTATTGTGCTGTATTAAATGTCTTTGCAATATAAATGAAATGTTTTGCAAAAATTTAAATTATAATTACGCTTTGCACATATTAATTATTGACATTAATTAATAATTTTCATTTCCAACTGTGGCTTTTATAAATTAATAAACTTACAATATAATTTTTACTCTATTATCTACTCTAATTTCATAAAATAAAAATTAAACTATTATAATAATAAATAAGAAGAAATATGAAATATTTTATGAAAAATTTTTTATGTTAAACATTTTCAATGCAAAATATACTAATTATTGAACTATAAAAATTCCATATAAATATCTACAATAATGGTTCTAAATAATTTAACTTGTATATAAAAATGTATGGTGCATTATTATGCTTCTTTTGCTGCGGAACATCGTATCGGTTTAACATTAAGAGTATTCTAATATAGTTAATGTTTTATGTCAGGAAGTACAAACATATGAAAAATTAATGTGTATAATTTTATCACATTATATGGACACTGAATTGATCTGCAGCTACAGTTTATTAAGACTGGTAGGCATCTTTTATGGTCAACTTGAGTAATATTCTTGACTTGGAAACCTAGATATTTTTCACACTATGAACATGAAAAATAACTGCTAGAACTTGTCATATCTTTACGGAGAGTTTAATTTCTGTGTAATTCAAAAGCAGTATTTTATAATTAGTAGTTGATTATTTAAAAATCTTTTAAAAACTATGTATCTTTAATTTTTATAGGCTGCTAACTTAAATACTTTAATAGGGCTATGTTTACGGTTCTAAACGTTTCGAAAAGCAAAATTACAAAGTAATGAACACGAAGTTCCTAAATAAAAAAAAATCTATTTAAACATTAAATAAAAATATCTTTATCAATTTTCATGAAACTTTTTAATATGTATAAATTATTTTTTAGGACTCGATAAGCGTACCAGTATGCTGGAATAAAGTGCGCTTTTTGAAACTTGGTAAAGTTTCAAAAGCTTTTCGTGGTCAATTACCTTTTTTACATATTGGCTCTGCCATATTACGTACGCGCAAACATGGAACTCAAGGATGAACGAAATAAAAGTTACATATTCAATTGTTTATCATATAAATAAATATACATTTAAATTAATTATATTTATCAATAATTACTTACCTTACATTTTTATAAATCGTATGTTTATGTTACTTTCAAAATTTTCATTTAAATAGAAACAAAACTATTTTGAATTTATCGATTTTAAAATATCAATATGTCATGCAAAATATTTTCATACATCAATTACACAGCACACATAACTCATCCAAGTATGAACATTAATTTTTTTTATTCAACATATTTTCAAAATTACATTTGTTTATTATGATGCATCCATTTATAAAAAATCCTAGCTAATGTATTTTTTATGAATATAAGAATTATAATTCTATATGATCTTTCGATTAAGTTTAATTTACACGTTTTGCTTTTTAAAGAATCATAATTAAGAGATAGAACATAACTTTAATCAATCGGAAACATTCTTTGTGACAAATGTATGTTAATTTTATAATTTTCAATATATAAAAAACATATTTTTATAAATTACAAAATTATATTTCTTCCATAAAAACATTGTTTAAATATTTATTTTGATAAAAAATTGTCTTTTAATATTTAATTTATATTTTTATATTACTGCAGATTTTGTTCTTATACTTGAAAGTATGCGATGGCAGATGTGCAAGGTAAATCAACTATAACATTATTACTGAAAAAATAAATGATTTATTAAATGTTTATTTTAAAAATACATAAGTTTATCTTCTTGCTTTGCCATGGAATTTCTTCATCAAAAACTGTAGAGCATTTGTCGAGTCGAAGAGTAGCTTAACATCTATTTGTCTTTATCAACACAAAACAAAAAAAGGAGGAAAAAAAGAAAAAAAGCAAGGATTAAAATTGTTGCGCGCCCTATTTATTTCTCAAATTTGTTATTTTGCTTTGAAGATAAACATTTTTCTAACAAAAATGCGTATTTAAAGAATTAGCTCTAAGCAATAAAATACCCGATAATTAAAATTATTTTTCCTTATCCTCTTTTATGATTATAATCAGTAATATTTATTTAATGATATATATATATATATATATATATATACGTTTATTCGATTTTTCAACTAAATTGATATTGATTGTTAAATCGATTAAAAAAGTCCGAAAATAAAATAAACAGTATTAACAGAATCGAGTCGATAAATTGCTGTTCAGTATATTTTATTATTATGCGTATTAGTGAACATATCGAATAACTCTTATTTTAATAGTAATAGTTCTATGTCGAATTTGTTTGTGTATGCAATTCTATATTAAAGAAGATTAAAACCATGCATTAAAGCTTTCCATAAACTTCATAATTAGAAAACACACGTTTTAATGACAAAAATCTTTATTATTAAACAAAATGTATCAATTTTGTAAGCTACCGACGTATGTAATAAAAAAAAAATACTTTACACAAAATTGAATTTGTTCTTCTTACAAATAAAATCCGAGGAATTAATGGGAATATTATTAAAAGTGAAATAAATTTGCTAAAAAAAAGTACACACATTTCAATGTGAAATAACTAACTCCAGTATTTTACTTTAATACTCGGACGTTCCGAGCTTTTCCACCCTATTGCTTTCTAAAACGAACGATCAATGTTGAGGCAGTTCGTTGACACCGGGTGGTACATTGGAAGTTCGATCGATAACTAAGGAATGAGGGAGTAGTAGGAGAAGGACAAAATGGGCACTTACGTGGACTTACCTCCGGCGACGTTGGCCGTTGTTAATAGAAATATGGTGAGCGCGCTGACGCTGACTATCACAGGCCGCACAGTAAACCAGAAATTAATGAAAACGAAATACAAAATATTATTATGGGGAAGAAATAAAAGATTCGTAAATGTTTACTTGCGATTTGTTTTTCGCTTTTCTTTTCGCCGTATACGTGATTTTAATGCTATTTATTTATAAAGAAATACAAGATAAATCGCTTAGATGGGAAAGAAATTTGTAAATAATGAATATGAAATATGTTGTAAGTCAAAAAATTAAAACCAAAGAAATTATATTTTAATTCGTAAATATAAATGCTTTGATGTAGAAATCTTTGCTATTAAACAAGATTTTTTTCTATGCAATTTTAAATACCTTAATACGATACCGTCGAAATTTAATAATAAAATTTTTTCTCTAGCTTGCAAATAAATAAATAAAAAACTAAATTTGCTATTTTCTTTAATTTTCAATTTAATTACGTGTTCATATTTTGATGATATCGAATTTCAAGGAATAACTCTTGCATTTCTTGCATATCAACCATTTATATACACAAATATTAAAAGATACAGTTAAAATAATTTACTGTCACTATTTAAAGGTGAATTGTAAATTGTTAAATGATGAAACTTCAAAATTATTGAAAAAATAAATGGAGCACAATTTTTATACATGAATATTATTATGTTAATAATGTTATTAATATTACAATTTTTATAAATTTACATATTTAGCATGGAAATGTAAATCATTAAAAATGTGTTCTTGATATTTCAGATTTTTTAAAAATAAAGCATACGTCAAATAAAAATATCTAATAAAAGTATAATATAAGAATGTTAAATACTTTTCTAACTTTCTACTTCTTTAAATTGTAATAAAGTGTTAAATAAATAGAATATTATGATTTAAAGTCTTGTAATCAATTTTGGTTAAAAACTAATATTGAATTTCGAGACTGATTGATAAATAAATTAAAGCAACTTTGCATTCCTGATTTAGTATATATTCGCTAGCGTGGAATAATATATTCGACTTACGTCATTATAATTAGCAAAATTAAATGTACCAGCAATTTAAAAATAAAACGTATATGATTTAAATCCAAAAATCATAATATACAAGATATGGAATTAAGAATCGAATGAAAATTTAATGCATTTCATATAACTTAATACGATTTCTTGAGTTAATAATCCAATTCGTAATTATTCAGTACCTAGTGTAATATTAAATCCATAAAGCTTTCCTACCTGTTTTACGTACAGAAGCTAGCTAGAGTCCCTTCACTCTGCTACCTGCCTGTCATTTCTCTTCTAATTCTCATTTCATTCCTTTGCTATGCAGAGCAAATTCATTGCCGCGAAGAAATTAATAAGAAAGAGACAACAAAAATAAAGAAACTGTACTTCTGAGTAGTATTTTTCTCTTTTTTTTCTTTTTTTTCTTATAGTTATATGTACAAATTACTTTAATACTGAGGTTACAAATAAATATGTACCAAATATCCTCGATGAGATGCTCTTACACACATTTTTGTTTACAATTTTATAGCGAGTAATAACTAGGTTTTGGCTTTCTTCTATTTTTGCTTTTACATGATTTAAAAATATAAATGTAAATTTTCTTCTCGTTATAATTAAAATAAATTTTTGAATAAGGCCATAAACGACCACTTATTAACGCCTTTTGATTGCTTAACATTATTTTTCAAATTTGAAATTGAAAAAAATAAAAATAAAATAAACAAACTATAAAGTAACATGGAAAAAGGTCGTGGTCAATTTTATTTAACTAACTTTCTTACGACAAATACAACTTAAAAATTACTTGGTTTCATTTTTTGTTATGTATAATGTGTACATACATACACATATATATATATTATATATATATATATATATATACACATAGGTACACATATATATAGGTTTAATATGCACGCGCGCGTATGTGTATAATGTAAACTATAGGTATAACCTACAAATGCTAAAATCATTGTTGATTAACCTAGGCTAAGTGTCGCTCTCGCAATTTCTTTACTAATTTTCCCATTTTACGATATCTTTTGAAACTATCGTATGATTATTTTTTACCGATATTTTACTATATAAATATCGCGAGAACTTAGGCTTTATTTTTTTAAAAGTATAAAAAAATAAGCAAACGAAATAAAGAAATTATTGGTATTACGATTAAAAAAATTTCTTACAGTTTGCAATTGCTGATCTCATAGCAAAAAACAACCAAAAATAGAGAGGTCATCCATAGTGTATCTCCGCTTGATTAAATCGAGTTATTATTTTCAAGCTTAAATTTTTAAACTGTATTATATTTATACAAATATATGTGCATAAAGTGTACAAGAAAGCCAAATTAATTAAAATTTTTCATTAATTACACTACACAACATACATTTACCTTAATCGATATTAAACAATTTACAAATCGGTTAGTGGTGTAACAATTGCTGAAAACAGTCACAAGATTCGATAAGGAAGTTCGTGCATTTTGTTTAAAATCGATAAAATGATAACTCATGAATTGCAAAGTTTACTAAATGAAAACTCTTCTAAAACAAATAACAAAATTGGCTTCGTAAGTATCAAACAGTAAAATAGGCACTGTATCATTTTCAAAGGTTTTAGCTATATACTTGAGGTTGTAAAGACTTTGCAATATTGTTATTTTAATACTGCTATATTTGTCGCTTTGTTTTTTGTTCATGAATTTTCGTTCACGATTTCAATAACTTTGCGTATTTTTACACTTTACGATCGACCTTCCTTACTATCGATCCTCCGCTATATTTTCAGCTACGTCTTGCAAAACAAAAGTTATTTTTAGGTGATGATTTAACACCCATGAACTTTATTCAAGTTATCTGAGTGATCTACGACGTGGCCGTCCACTTTTAAATAAAAATATTTGATCGCTCATTGGTGAAAAAATTATATGAATTCTTTCAGAAACTTGTTTTGCCTCGCTTTATAAAGAGCTTAACATTATAATAATTGAGCATGTGGTTAGATTATTAGTCGTTTATCCATGATTTCTACAATAGTTGTGCGTTGAATATATATAATCATGCAACTTCGATCTTTATTCAACTTATTAACAATACAATTATTTGTAGATATTTAACATAAACGTGACAATACAAAATAAAATTTCGTCCCAATAGTATTCAGAGAAAAAAATTGCACGAACTTTTTTATCTAATCTTACAGATACCTCGTATGTTAATCTGTGCAATAACTCTAAGTAGTTTTTCATAAACAATAAAAAATAAGTTTATGAATAAAATACGACTTTCTTGGTCTCTTAAATCAATATAAAAATGTTATTTTATTATTTTTATAGTATTTTACCGAGTTAAAGAAATTTGTCTAATACTTTTTTTTAAAGCCATCTAGGATATCATTTTAAATTTGAATCAAGAAAGAATACAGTCAACATGGAGGAAAATTGATCTCATTAGTTTTATGGAAATATATCATTAATTGCCAATTAACAATTATGGTCTTTGCGATAGTATGTGTTGTTGAAGTTATTAAAATAATAAAGTAAGTTTTATAAAAAGGGTTCTACAGTTCTAAAAGTATTTCGTAAAAAATGCTAATATAAATGCAATCGGTTACTTAAATCTTTTTTTATAGCACATTATTTAATATTTAAAAGAATTGACTGAAAATATTGATACGTATAAGGCATTATTTCGAATCATTCATCATTCATATCATTTTTTCGAATTGCTTAAGCCAAAAGCTTGCTTCGGTTCATAAATGACTAAATGGTTTAAAAGTATGCAATTATCTCCTATAATTAAAATTAAAATGATAAATCCTTTATTAGATGATGCTAAATTTTCTAGGGCCCTCGAAATATATATAAACAATAAAAATATCCGAATTTTAAGATAATTTTGAAAATTTTGAGACCAAGAAAAACAAGTTATTCCTTGTATGTGGGTGGTTTAAAAAAACTTTTAAGCCTTAATATGTAAATGGACATTATGGTTATTTTGTTCATTTTTAAATAATTTTTGAAAATTTCAACCATTCGACGCTTTGTTGTTGAACGATAATCGTTTGAACTAATCGATGTCATCATTATTTTTATAAAAATTAAAAAAAAAAGAAAAACAATAAACATGTTGTCGTTAAAAATTTTACATGGAAAATGCAATAATTATCGTTGCGTTAATGTTGAAAAATGAATTTGATCGAAAAAAGTTTATTTCTATATTGAGCTACAAACTTTTCAGACTATATGTATTGAATTCTCATGAATGATGAAATTAGATAAGTTTAGAATTTCATAACATTTAATTAAACAAAACTGATAATTCGAGGTGAAAAACGTAAATTAGATTTGCACGATAACGGAGGTTACTATTGTACAAAATGTAATGGATAGAGATCAGTGATTTCATTTTTTCTTTAATTTTTCTTACGAAACAACACGTACATGCTACAATTAATTATGTTGCGTAAAGCTGTCAAATAGGTGAGAAAAATTTTGTTTAATATTTTCTTCTACAACAGTTAAATAGAGATTTTTTCTTGAAAAAAGAACAAGATCAGTATAAACCGTATCCCGAAGAATGTAAATTTATATATAGATATACGTATACACACATATATGTGTGCGTGTGGACGCGCGCGCGTATATATACATGTGCATACACATACATACATATATATATATATACATATATATATCCACTGCTGTTTGACAAAATTTGCATTTGAACTCACTTTCTTTTTGTTTTTATTTATCTTTTTAAAAAATACGCATTATTGAAATAAATGTCTCCCCTCCTCTCATTCAAGAGCGTACAAGCTACAAGTATTCTCTTCCTGTATTCCTGTATCCTGATTGTCCTGCCTGTGGGGGTTTTTTCAGTTCTCAGTCCCTTTCTCAATCTTTCTTTCTGAAATTTCTTTCTCAGTATATCCTGTATCCCTCTCTCATTTTGCTCACTGTCCTGTCCTTCTAGCCTGTATTTTGCTCTAGCCTGTATGCCTGCTTATCCCTGCCTGCTCCAATACTAATACAGTACCGCAGTACTGCTAAGACAAGAAGTAGAATGGGATTCACCTGGGGTTCAAAAGTCAAAACTAGTTAGTTGTGGAAATACAAAATATCTTACGAGAGACGTCAATCATATACACACTATTTAGAAGGGGGTGCGTACATGTGAAAGTGTTATGAAAAATATCTTTCTAAATAGCATGTCAAACTAAATTATGTAGTGAATACTATTTTTAAAATTCTTGCATCTTTTTTCATTTTTAGACAAGTGATAGTAAAGATTCAAAAATTCTAAAGCTTAAAATTTACTGCCGAATTAATTTAAGATTATTTGAAATAAGTTTTTGTCTCACATATTAACATGCATATACTCTTCATTCTGTTAAGGATAATCTATCATTAATACAAAATAGAACATCGATAAGATTTCTTTTTAAAAAATTGTGTATTTCATTAAATAGTTGTTAATTAAAATAAAATTGTTTCAACAGAAGTTTATAAAAATAAATTTATATTAATTTTTAACAAGCTTCCTGTCAATAAGGAAGCACATATATTCATTAATATTTTACAGAGTGTCTACCACTAAGTTTCTTTAACTTTTTTATCAATTTCATAACTACACTGATTATTTATAAAAGTTAAATTATTGTTAAGATATTAAAACAGTTAACGAAAAAATTATCTACAGATTTTATTCGTGAAATGATTAAGTAAACTTTCACATTAACTTTTTTTATGTATTTTTATAAATTATAAAATATTCTAGGTCTTCTTAAGGATTTAAGGGTTAAGTAGACACTCTTGTATATAAATTTAACTTCTGGTGCTACATATGGAGTAGTACTAAACTATATAGATGCTTCTTATTACAAATACATAATTTGTTTTACAAATAAAATTTTTTAATTTAAACTATAGAAATGGAGCAAAGAAGGAAAACCTTGGAATATTGAAAGAGCAATTATCGTACCTTTCTTTACCTCAAATTAAAACTTTATCTAATACATAAAGAGCATTTTAAAGCTTTCAATTATATAATAACAAATAAGCTTATAAGTTACATAAATTAAAATTACTTATATGTATTAATGCAGTTTTGTACAGAACATGTTAGAACCTAACTTAAATAAAGCCATTAAAATAAATATATTGGTAAAAAGCATTCTGTGTAATGTGCAATGAATTTGAAATTATTAAATAACTGGTTTCTAATTAATTTTCAGATATAATCATATAATATAAATATTATTTTAATTAACTTTATTTAAGCCTATGGTTATAAAGAGTATTCTAACAATGAAACTTAGACTTATTCATATCATAAATATTTCTCTATATTTCAAAGTTTAAACAATTGGTACTCTATATTCAAACAAATTTACTGTATCAAATTTTGAAGATTATAAAAATATCTCTACAACTTTAAATGTTAACTTAAAAAAAAAATCAAACAAAATTCTTTAAAATACTCTAAAACCATGAAATAAGTACCATAATAATATAAAGATTAATCCTTTCCTGATTAAATATCGAAAAATTAAACATCATAGACTATTTGCTAGCTTCTTTTCCCTAGCTTCCTATCATACTACGATAAGAAACTGTTTTGGGCTAAGCTTAACGAACCCTCAATAAGACCAACAAATTCTAATTAATGAAGAATAGTATGGAAGTCATTAATAATAGTAATCTAATTTACCATAATATGCTTTAATGACCAAAGTACTAATAAAAAATGAGGCTAAGTTGTTTCTTTCATGGGACAGAAATATGTTTGAAATAGTACAATAATAAAGGTATTTTGACAGTTTGCTTCTTTCCATTTGTGGGAATTGATTAATAAAGATTTTAAAAGATGAGGAAGAAAGAAAAATAATTATGGAATAACTAGGTTTATGCTTGAATTTAAAAATGAAATGTTTTTGAGTTCAAGCTTAAATATTAATGCCAGAAGAGAAATTATATCCAGGCATTGACAATACTTACATTAAGCATATATTACATAAAATATTTATTTTGCACACATTTGTATTTATTAATTTAGGAAACGCATGAAAAATGATCTAATTAAACAATAGATACCGATTAAAAAGATTCATTATCTTCTGGCATATCTTTCCAGTCGAATCTATAAAACTATGAAAAAAATAAAACAGATCAAGAGTCGGCTGAAATTGAGCTTTAGCTTACCGTATCGAGAGTCGGGGAGCATTTCATGGTCTTCCAGTTAGTCTTTTAATATCTTCTGCCACCGCCGCCGCCACCTCCCCCCATACCGCCGCCCATGGAACCACCGCCATAGCCACCTTGGCTACCCCCTCCGTAACCACCGCCGCCACCGCCGCCACCACCTCCTCCGCCGCCTGATGAGCCGGAACCACCTACGGGTTGCGGGCTTAACTTCTTTTATGGGCTCTTTTATATATGAAGACGACCAACGGCACTTGAGCCATTGCGTGAACTTCCTTTTGTTTTGTTTACGGTAAGCACACGAGTGTCTTCCTCGTAATAAGCCCTTTAATGACTTTCCTTCTTTAACCCGTATATATACGAAACAGCTTTTTAAATTTGTTTATTTCAATAACGTTAATTGAAGTTATTGGATTTTAATTCATATGGATATCATTAAAGAGCTACATATTTGAGGTACTGAGATGACTTTTTCAATAAACTTCTCATTACCACATATGCAAAAGAAAAAGAAATTTAATAATAAGTAAGTACAATGAAAATCTTTACGGGAGCTTGTACCGTAGGGCGCCGGCCTTCCACTCGAATTGAAGTTATTTCTTACTGGTCCGCCACCATAACCTTGTTGGTAGCCACCACCAAAATTATCATTACTCCAATTGCCACCACTATTATATCCACCCTGACCACCCTGGCCACCACCCCAGGCTCCGCCGCCTTTTTAAAAAAACAAAATGTGAAAAATATTTGATTATTCAGTATAGTAAATTTCTAAAGTAGTATAATTTATTAGGAATAAAAAACTTAAAAATATTGAGATTTCTAAGTCATGATTCACTTCTATAGACTCAATTGTTTTATACTTGGCCTGCAATGTATAAATGAGAATAAAGAAGGAAATACTAATAAGGATATTGAATTAATCTGCGATAAAAAAAACTTACAAAAAATAAAATCAAAGAACAATCCTTGAAAAGATTTAGACTTCATATAACAAACCTTGATTTTGATTTTCCCATGGGCCATTATTGCCCCATCCACCCTGATTGCCACCACCGTAACCGCCTTGGTTGCCACCTTGGTTCCAGTCACCACCTCCACCACCACCACCGCCACCCCGACCACCCCAACTGCTGCCGCTCTGATTGCTTCCACGAGGTCCGCGTCCACTCGATTGACCGCCACGACTACCGCCACCTCCGCCACCGCCACCGCCACCGCCGCCACCACCACCTCCACCTCCTGTCGCTGAGGCCATTTCTGCCCTGCTCAGAGCCTAAATAAAAGATTGCAATTTATAAAATTTAGCTTAATCAAATTATGAAAAGAATTAAAATTAAATAATTAAAATATCAAGTGTTTTTATGTAATGATAAATTAAATTGAAAAATACTAAGTATACTAAAAATGCAATTTTTGTCTTTTCCATATATTTTGACAAAAGGAATTGGTATTTTAAAATTATATATATAGAAACAAAAAGGTGCCTCCAAAAGAACAATAAATACATGTTACTATAGACATGTTGCAAATTATACACACCTTTTTAACATCAACGTGTTTTCCACGGATTTGATGGTTTCGTTGTAAACAAATTTTGTCAACTGGATCATAGTCATCAAATTCAACAAAGCCAAAACCACGCTTCTTGCCAGACTCTTTATCAGTAACAATACTGACAGAATTAATATTACCAAAGCTCTGGAAGTACATTCTAAGATCATCTTCTTCATGGTCATCCTTCAAACCACCAACAAACAATTTCTTTACAGTTGCACCAGCTTCAGGTCTTCCAATCTCCTGTCTTGGAACAGCGCGCTTGGGTTCTACTACTCGTCCATCGACTCTGTGAGGCCTATAATTTTAATTAATTAATTATAGATAAATCTTTTTAACTTGATATTTTTAAATTAAAGCAATGAACTGAAGAATGAGCCTCATTAGGTCAATGGAAAGTTGATAGTTACCTTGCGTTTTGGGCATCGTCAACCATGTGTGCTCTTGAATAAGTAATAAATCCGAAGCCACGGGAGCGTTTGGTCTTGGGATCTTTCATAACTACTACGTCAACAATATCACCCCATTGTTCAAAATGCTTCTTTAAGGAATCATCTGTAGTACGGTAATCCAAACCTCCGATAAAAAGCTTCCGAACATGTTCAGGCTCGTTTTTGCCATCCTACAATAGTAAGATTCAATATTTGAAAGTATACATTTATTTTTAAATTAATAAACAGATCGTATATTTTTCTTAATAATGTCAATATTACAAAGCTTTCAAGTAACAGAAAACAGAAATAACAGATATTTTGTATTAATTTGTTAAATTTGAAAAATGTCCACGGTCAAAAGGAGTCGATATAATTTGTTTTTCGGTATCAGAAAAAAAGGCGTAAATCTTATACTTTCTGGAGAAAACAAGAAAACTTCAAAAATTAAATTATCAACATACGCAGATCGAGAAAATTAATAATAACAGGCACTTTACAGCGGACGTTAATATTTAATTAACAATGCTCGACAATGTCTTACGAGGCAAAGGAAGAAAATAATTAAAGTAGTAGGCTAAGATGCAAAACCGATATAACCGAATAACATTTACAAAACTGCTTAGACCCCATGTATAAAAAACATGGTGCATAAAAATAAATGGAGAAAACGCGTCCTAATAAGTAGTATGAAGTGTCGCGAAGAGAAGCTTGAAAAATGGCGTAGTATGGCGTGGCCACGCCATCAACCGGCTTTCCTTCCCTCCCACTCGTGCAACTTTGAAAAGTTTGAAGAGATCTTGCGTGGGTGTCACACGATTTTGTCACATCTCGAATCTTCCGCTAACATTGCATTATTATTACGAAAGCAGTCTGTCACGGCTATGGTAAATGAAAGCGACGCATCGCCGCCATTTTACCAACGCGGGCCTCCTTTTGGGAAGAATCGTGCTTAACATTTCTGTCAGTTGGCGCATTCAGTAAAAATCGGCTCTAACGAAACAAGATATACCCTTTTTTTACATTGATACACGTAAATGTCGGAGGCGACGTAAAGATCCTGGTATGTGTGACTATCGAGCCAAGCTCGGTGATGCACCGAGGGATGGGTCAGAGGACGCCAAGAATAATGAGCCGCGCGTTTTCCTTTACTTACATCATGCTCCATTTTCACCATCTTAGAAGATGATGCACTACGGCCTTGCGTGGAGCGCCGCGTCTCGAAGCCTTTTCAAAATTACGAGATAAAAAGAAAAACGGAGAGCTTCGGCGATCCGGAGCGCGCGTGCACGGCAGATACACACACACGAAGGAAGGGGGAGGATGCGAATGGCTGCTACTCTTGCTAACACCAGAATGGCACTTAGCTTGGTCAATGCACCAACTCGACTGTCGCTGTTTCGTTTGCCGCCGCCGTCGCTGCCGCCGCACCAACTTGCCTCGGAAGTGTGAACATCGATTTTCGATGGCTTGGGTGGGGGCGCCGACGCCGGAAGCCTACACTACGCGCATCAGGTGTACGTCTACTTTCTTTCCGTTGCCTAGGAGTCTCCCCAGACGGCGCACCTCTTCGTCGGGCGCGCACATTTTTAAATATTACCTCGTCGAATCGCAATAGCGAGGAGAGAAGCACAAATGCTCGCTCGTTTGAAAAGCGGCTTCCCAACATTTACAAGTCAAAACGGGCTTTACGAATTACGTCTGCAAAAGCCCATTTTTCTTGAATGGAGTAGGGTACATTACCGTACGAAGGATTTACATTTCCCGACATAAAGATATCGAGTATTGTAAAGTTTATAAAAGAATATACCACTTTTAGACCTTACCACTCTTAGAGGACACTATGAGTTAAATCGTATACTAGAAACGTTGATGGAATTGAAAAAGATTTTTTAAATATATTAGTTAAACGCCTAATCTTATTTTAAAACATTGATTATTGATTGATGACCGACACGAGTTCGGAAAGTTTCCATAACACTTTACCGAATGTCGAGATGTTCTTTGATTGTCCGCTTATTTGCTAAGAATTTTATTCGAAATTTCAGAGAATTAAGAATACAACACATTTACTTCATTTTCAAGCTTCTTTAAAACGATCTAATAAGTTTTAATTTATCACAGAGGTAGTCAATTATAATGGCTAAGCAGTGTATATTTAAATATTTATAGTAATAAGCATTGCTTTGATGGCGCGAAAGTTACTTTATTGAAGCTATAAAATAATATCAATGACCATAATACTGATTTGAAAAATTATGTTCATAAATAAACAATAAAAATTTTTTTTTGAACGAGTTTAGAATATTACTTTTTTTCGATACAGTGAAAATGTGAAGCTTCATATACTCGTTGGAATTGAAATTGTAGCATAGAGTGGACAATGAATATAAATGTATATTTAAAATAATTCAAGTATTGGAAACTCGAATGACCGCTGATAATAATAACCATTAATGTTTTGTATGAATAAGTTACAAATTAGTTTATTTGGAACATCCGGAACAGGTAGTATCCAAGTATATTTTGGTTTGTTGTCAAAACAATAAAGTAAACCGTTGTTTGGTTAGTGACTTGAGCATTTTAAATTAAAAAAGAATTTCATTGCCTACTGATCTATAATTAATATATAAAAGGCAAGTAAAATGATTTTTTATAAAATTTATCGTGGCACTTGAAAATATAAAAACTAGTATTGGTTGATTTTATAACCTCTTATATAAAGTATGTTTTTTTTAATACATTTTTAATTTATTTAGAGGCAGTATATTATTATACTATTCAAATTTTGCATTCATAATTAGCATATTGTAAATAGTAGACGTTTGCTTTTATTTCAGAATAAATAGGAAATACTTGTAAATACAAATAATTACATTTTAATAGCTAAAGAAAATGAACAATGAAAATAAAATTAGTAGTAATATTAAACCACATGGCTTTAAAAGACAATTAGAAGCAGACAAAATTATAGGAGCGACTGAATCCAATGGAGAATTGATGTTCCTTATGAAATGGTAACTATAATTGTCATTTAAGTTGATCATTGAGAATTGAAATATATTTGTAAAATTAATAGGAAAGGAACTGAAGAAACTGACCTTGTTACAGCCAGAGAAGCAAATCTACTTTGTCCTAGAGTTGTGATACAATTTTATGAAGATAGACTGGTGTGGCAAACTGCAAAATTACCAATGTAATAATTGGATAACTTGCTTCAAAGATAATTTATTTTGCTTATTACTAATGGTACTTTAATATTGAATTTATTATTTTTTAATTATACTTTGATATATATCTTTAATTCTAATTTTTATATAATGTATTGATTACAGTTATGTGCTTGGATTTAAAATTTATGCACATCGTATAGGATTATATTTATTGAATCTTATAATTGAATTTGAAAATTTAATTGCTTCGACTTATTCTATTCATATAAAAAATAAGCTTTAATTATTACTATTATTCTCAATCTTGAAATTATTTTCATAGTGCTTTGGATATATTCAGATTGTGTGTTATAATAAATATAAACCATCACTATCCTTTAGAATTCACAAATGCCTATTATGTTTCTATATTGAGTTGTTAATGATGCTGCAGTTAGCATGCATATAGTACTTCTGAAAAAATTCTATGGCGTAGGCACACATAAATCCATTAGTATTATTTGGCATATGAATCTTATGCATATATTTATGTATATATAGCCAAAGTATATACATAAGAAACTAACATGCATATTGAAGCTCATTTAAAAAACTAGGAGAAATTTTCTTGAAAAATAGTTGTCAAAGAGATGTCAACACTGTATACGATCATAATCATGAATATTGTATTAAGCTTATTTTATTAAGATTTATATTAAAATTTTAATGCCTAGTCATAAGCAACACAAATATTTTGCCTTAAACTTCCATTTGACTTTAACTTAACTTGATTATTTATAAAGTCAAGCTCATTGAAGAACTGACATCTGAAACTATTTATTCAAGACTCGTCATCACTGGATTCTATTGCCAAAATGGTATGGTAATAATCTAGTTTTTTAATATTTATAACATGATTGGTGTAATCTATTATCAATATCTTCATGGATTTACTAGACATTTGCACCTTACTTAGAGAAATATATGCAGAAGTACTTGACGAAATTGATATAACATTGTTAATGTCTGAACAGGTATTGATTAAGAAATCCCAAAAATATGTAAAAAAATAGTTAATATCTAAAATTATTATACTTTGAATGAATGAATCTTTGTTATATCACATATAATTTTTTTCTAATGAAAATGAAATTTTTATTAAAATATAGATAATATAGTTTAAGTTAAAAAAAATTATGAATCTAAAGTTATCTTGTGAAGAATAATTTATAAAATTATATAATAAAGTTTAATTTAAATATTTCATTTACATTTTACTAAAACTTAAAGCCAAGATAAATGAGTTTTATCTTAATATTAGAATTAAAAATTAAAAAAAAATTAAAATATTTATTTTATAATTTTTAATTAATAGTAAATTATTAAACTATGGAGTTTAAAAATTAATATATAAGTTTTATAGACTTGCATTTTATATATTTTATGCATAAACTTAATATAAAAAATTATTTGTATGATACTATTTAAAACATTGAGAGGATACTATGGAATAGACATTTCAATGCCCCAGTATTATTGATTACATTTTAGATAGAAAAAGAAAAACATTTTGAATTTTTATTGTAGTTAAAATCAATTTTTTTTAATAATTATCTTTTAAAATATTTTGAATATACCTATACAGGCTAATATTTTTTGCTATTCTTATATTATCTGATAATTCTTATTTATATTAATTATTTTATCATGAGTAGATGATGAATTTAAGCTAATATTCATAAAGTTATAAACTTGTATAAAATATTGATAATTGCAAAGCTACTTTTTACCTGATTTATAAATCTAGTCACTGATTATTGTTTTATTAACTTAATGAATTAAAATATGTAAGATTTTTAAGATGTTCCTACAAGTTTTTAAGTAAAAACTTCAATAATACAAAAGTACATAAACTTTATATTCAACATTTATTACAAATCATTTTGTCTCTAGAATAATTTTCAATGATTTTCTAGTTATTAAAGTAGGAGATTTATTATTGCAATAAATTAAGTTTAAAAAACTTAACTTTATTTGTATACTTTAAAATTTTATAAACATGTATACTTGAAGATAAATTTATTTATTAAAGTATTTTTTTATTTTAACAAAATTTTTTACTGTGATAAGAAAACCTTCAATAGCTATAATTATAGTTGTTGACACAAAAATTAGGTAATAGCAATAAAATAATTAAGTTCTATAATCTAAAGGTTTTTTTTAAATCTTACTTGCGAATTGTAAAAGAATATAATCAATTGATTTAAATATTTAATCAAAAGGAATTAATATTGGCATTGTGATAAAAAATTTAATTATACTCACCGTGATCACTTCTATAAGTTTAATATAGCAAAAGGAATTATTATTTATTTCATTGTTTTTATAAATGGACCTTCATTTTCTAAGAAACAACTAATTACGGAAGCAAGAGTTATAAAAATGTATTAAAATTGGGTAATAATTAGAATGAATAATGTTTAAGTACAAGTTATTAAAATGTTTTTAATTATTAGACAGATAATACTTAATAATTAAAACATTATGCAATGTAGAGAAATGCCATTTTTATAAACACATAAAATTGTCGAAGTTTATAAAGCATAATTTGTTACACTTGCAGGAAAAAACATGGGCTTCTCGGTAATTAATGTAATTACTCGTAACATATTAAGGAATGATTAATTTATAAATACATTGTACGATTTTTTTCTTGAAGTATTGAATATACGAGTAAAATTAAAAGACCAAAAATACCTACGTTGAATAAATAAAAATTATTGTACAAATGTGTTGCGTAGTTGCGTAATTTTAAGTTCTTGAATAAGTTGTGATCTTCAAATACTTTGTAATGCCCATGTCGCCTTTATACCTGTCATTTAAATACATTTCAATGAAATAAAGCCATTCTTTGTATTTTCTTTTTCAAAATCAACCCTTCTGAAGACAAAATCTTTCTTATTAACGAGAACTTAATAACAATGACTTAAATCACATTTTTATAAAAACAGCTTCAGCTGCACAAATGAGCCAAGTACGTGATATCACCGTTGCCCAAGTCTGGCAATGTTACTTATTCGTGAGTAAAGCGAGTATAAATAAAAGAAATGAAACACTGAATACCGACATAACAAATTTCCGTAAATGTGAATTTTTCAGTCTTGTAGACGACGCAGCTCAAGTCTGCTTGCTTTTGGAGATTTTGGTTTTCAGAGACTCGGCAGTTCTGCGTCTCCAATGGAGATTGATGTCCTTCACAACTTTAGGCTTGTCGGTTCTGAGTACTTCGCACTGCTCCTCCTTAGCAAAATGTACAGTCTTTGATTTCTCTGGATTTTGCTTGCATGCGAAGCTTGTATCATCGTTTGAGTTGGAATTGCTACCGCAACTGTCTCTTCTCCTGTTGGTTAAGATAGAAAAAAGCTTTCAAACTTACTAGCTATAAACTTTTCAAATAATACGTCATATGAATAATTTTTATTAGCTTGCAATTATGGATGTGCCAATCTCGATTCTACGTCATGAATTACAAATGTGTTTACGTTATTGATATCATAAGACTTTGCGAACAGTTTTTGTAACCAAATGCTTTTTTCCAAAATTTGATATGATTTTATTCTTTAGAAATTTGTTTTACAAAATTTTTTACAGTTTTTAATTCATAATACTACATAAACTTCATAAATTCATCTCCACAATTATTAATATTTCATACGTCTCGGGATTAGAGATCAATTAATTAAGGAAGGAAACAACAATTTTTAAACTACAAAACTAAAGCTAGATTTCAGAGCAAAGTAATAATTTTTTTAATGGGATAGAAGTTAAAAAAAGTTCTTTTCGTTAACAAAATTCTTATTTCTATTAAAATGGTACTTTTCCTTCGTTCCATTAATTGCCTTTTCAAATACATAAATCGACTTTATGATTTGTACATTTAAATTACGATAACCGATGTTTGATTTAAGTAAATTAAAAAGTTGATGCCAGTGCATTGAGAGTTAGCTTTCTCGCGTACTATTTTTTATTCTAATCAAAATCATTAATCAAACATATTCGATTATAAAAGTACAATAAATCATTTTCAATTTGATGCAATAACTCTTATTGATAAGATATTTTATATTTGATAATAAAATATTAATTTTTTTTAATAATACGTTTGGGTATAATAATTTCGAATAATAAAAATATATATTGTATTTATTATTTAAATTGGTTCTCAAAATTAATATTATGTTTGTTTATAGTATTAATTGGTATGCAATTAAACAAGTTAAATGTTAAAATATTAAAAAAAAATTAAATAAATTTTACATGATTATCGATATTAAGAGATTATTTAGTACAGGTACACTGAGGTTATTAAATTATTATGATATTCACAAGAAGAGGAGGGAAGGTAGTTATACAAGAATCGTAGAATAATTTAAAAAAAAAAAACGGAGATTTATGGGGTGCTATAATAATGATAAATGTACGACGATAAATTGCATAACCATTTTAGCCAAATGGATTACGAATTGATTTTTTTAATAATACTAATTGGTATTAACATTAAGCATATTTTGAAGACAAGAAGTGTAACTTTGAATTCGTAATATTCATACATTCAAGATCATTAAATTTGTCCTGTTATTAATTAAATTGAGTTTTATTGATAATTTACGTTTTTGTGGATAATATATTATTAATATATTATATATTTATCATATAAATTATCAGAGAAAAAAAAATATGTATATATATGCAAACTTAATAACATTAAAATAATTTTATATACATATAATTTATTATATTATAATATATAACAATAATATAAATGTAATAAAATTTATATATATATATATATATATATATATAATTTCTTTATCAAATATTTTTAAGTTTACCTTGGAATTATAAGTTATTTGAAAAAGTGAATACGGTAAATAGTCACTTTAGCAATAATAATCTTTTATCATTATTAGACTAATCCAACATTTAATATAAAATATAACTTGACATTTTTTATCAGGTACCTTTGCTATAAAAATATATTATTTTGAATTATTAACTATAAATAATTAATAATGATCTGGATGGTATTTTTCGTTCAATTTATCAATTGATTTGTAATTATGAAAAGGTTACTGTTACAGCAATTGATATATTTAATACATTTATTGAAATATAATTACAACATTTCAGTTTCTATGGTATCTATAAAGAATTTTTATAGAAATTATTTATTCTTAAATATTTTGTAATAAAAATGTAATAAAAATTAAGATGTATTAGAATTGACAATAAAAATTAAAAACTATACGTTAATTAAGTAGTGTAAATGTGCTTTGTATAGTGTTTGAATATTAATTTATCTTGTGTCCCAAACAATAGTACTGTATAATTTTATATTGTTTAAAACTTGCTAGAAAATTCGATTTTATAGAAATAAAATGGTTATTCAGATATTAAGTGAAATTTATATACATAAGCAGAAGTTTATTATTAACATAAATTTGTATCTGCCTTAACACAATATTACTAGATTTCTTTTCCAAAAATGCAATAATTTTTTTCATCCATTTTAATTTGTTAATTTCATTCTTATCGCTCTACATTTTTTTATTGATTCCGTACAAATAATTAATTTTATACGATATTAAATTTTTACGTATTACGTTTTTAAATTACTGATACCTTTCATTACATATTAAGGAATATGAATATCTATTTATTCAAATTAAATAAACAATTATTGTGTATTTCGAAATAAGAATATTTTGATAGTATACACGACGTCAAAGGTATCGGTAAAAAATAAATAATAAAATATTAAGTATGCAATGTTGAATTTATGTATTTATATATTTATAAAGGATTTGATATTGTTATTTGTATGAACTTTAATTCATTCAAATAAAAGACATGATTTAATTAATCGATATAAATAAATATATATATTTAATAGTCTAATATTTTATTAGACTAATTATAATTATTATTTTTTAATTTTATTATTCTAATTATAATTAGCTTTGTTTTAGATTCTTGTTCACCACCTTCTTTTTTTTATTTTTCTTATTATTATTATATGCTGGTATATTCAGCTATTATTTGCTTGTCATTATATTATTATATAAATTATAATTTAAAAATTATATAAATCATAATTTTTAAACATAAATGAAAAAGAAAATTAATTTTAATATAATATAAAAACAGCCTTATTTTTAAAGACGTATTATTATCTTTCCTTTTATCTTCAGTAATGTCATAGACGCTTTCACATGATAATCTTATTAGTATATTAAGTAATTTATAATAATACAGTGATATAGTTTTATTGATGATGAACATATATATAATAATGCTAATGATTTTATAAAATATTCTTGTAGAAAGTTTAAATTTTTTTTCTTCTATTATTAATTATAATTTTTAAAAATACTGAATTTATATTAATGGATGTAAAAATTTTGTTTTTAAAGTCGATCTTAAATGTAATTTAAAGAATAAGTAATAAGTTCTATAAAAATGGCGATCAAGAACTTCACATTTTAATAAGTTAATGAATAAGTTAAATAATTTAATGAACCAAATTAAGCAATATTTCTCAAGATTTCAAATAACTCTTGCATGATTTTCAACCTTACGTATTTAAATACATTTGTCATTTTAAATAAATAAACTTGAATTGTTTTTTAAGAGGTACGAAGAAATTATTCTATAAGATTAATTAAACACATATATATTATAAATTCGATCCATCAAGGCATATGCTAAACATAAAAAATCACTTTATAAAACAATTACATATAACTTTCATATCTATTTATACGCGAGTGGTCGTTAATTTGTTATGCCAATGCAAAAAAAATTATTTTGCCATCGTTAATTAAAAACATATAGTTAATATTTTGTTCTTGATTAATTCTTATATACATATTTCTTATAATTTCGGATTAACTTTTAGTACCAAACTGTTCAGATTTTATTGACGCAAATTAGCCGCAATTTTCTTATCTCCAGAACTACAATATTAAAGCGTGTCGTATTAGAGTGGCATACTAAATGGATTTATTCTGACCATCATAAATAATTGTATAGTACAATATGGCAATAATAGTTACGTTAAGTGGCAGCAATGTTGAATCAAGTACATTCAATCGACTTTTTTCGGACGCTATTTTTTCACATAATTTTAAATTTATGCTTCAAAATCATGGACATTAATTACTTAGTCAATTATTTTGTATAAAGATTAACAATATGACCCGATGATTAAATATTATTAAATATGATTATTATTAAATATTATTAAATATGATTATTATTAAGTATTATTAAATATGATTAAAAATAAGGTTAAAAGTGCGGATGGAAATAAACTTATATTCATAAAATCGGCATTGATATTGATTGATGGAATTGATAATTCCATCCGTCATATTTGAAATGTAACAAATTGTTTTATTTGCTTTATTTTATATAAAAAAATATATACAAACCATACCTCACGATAGAGTTGGCTCTGCGATTCAGACCCGGGTAGATACAGAAAGAATCCTGAGTGTAGATTTTTTCCTCTATCTGGCGATTAAGAACAACAGCTTCCTCGGGAGGAATGGATTGGGTGAAACCGAGTCGCGTGCCCATTATTTCGCTGCCTTCGGCAAAACGTTTAATACTTATAGGCCCTCGGATTACAGGCACTGCGTTGCTCACGTCCGGTTTCGAGCCCGCCTGTCGATGGGGCTGAGGAGAGCACTGCATTGAAAAAGATTGTTAAAATGTTGACTTTTTTTCATAAGTGTAGGTTAAGCATATTAATATTAATAACGTTAAAAAATATTAAAGTAAAGTATATTGATTTGATAAATATGAGATTGTATAATTGTATACCAAGATACATAAAAAATTGCAGTTTTACCAGAGATGTTTTAAGTATACTCTTGGTACTCGAAATTGAGTTTGATCTAGAAGTTCGCTTTTGCTTTGGTTTGGTTTTTACATTATTCGTTGGCTTCTCGATATTATTCTTGAATTTGGAACTTTTTTCTTCAATTGATCGCTCCTCCTGATTTGACAATTTCTCATTTGCATTACCATTCACAATTCTTTCAGTATTGTCGGCTTGTTCCTTAAAATCATTTTCTACAGTCTTTAATGTATCCGAATCAAGTACATGATGATGCTTCACGTGACGATTCAGATTATCCTTACGGCGAAATTCAAGGTTACATTGATTACATGAATATGGTTTTACATCTAAAAAGAACAAATGCTATTTATTACAATGATGATGTATCGAAAAGTCATTTATACAATGACTTATCACGACAACAAAATGATCCTTATATCTAAAGTGTTAATTTTACTTTTATATTTTATTTTAAAATAAATAAATATAAGATTATAAAAACTGTTACACAGAATTAGTAAGATTTAATATTACGAAGGTATTAAAATATTATACCAGAATGAACAGACATGTGTCGCTGTACTTCGAATTTGCTTAAAAAAACTCGATGACAATCGTGACATGAAAAAGGTCTATTTTTATCATGTGTTCTTCTATGTCGCGTTAATAAGAATTTACCTTTGAAATCTTTAGAGCAAATATCGCATTTATATGGCCTATCAGCTGAAAAATTAAATAAGAAAAAATTAAATAAGAAGATTAATTATAAATATAACAATTTTTACTAAATAGTTTATTTTTTATCCAAAATAAATAAAATCTTGTAACAATTTGTATGGTAATAGGAAATATATTTCAAATACTTGCTTGAGTGTGATCGTTCGTGACGTTTTCTGTTAAATGCAAGAGTAAACGTTTTCGGGCAAAACTTGCATTTATATGAATTATTTTGATGAATCGACATATGATTTTTCAAGTACTGCTTTGTACTAAATCTTCTTCCACATTCTGCGCACTCGATATCATTTTGTTCTGAAATGAAATAAGAAACTTAAAAACTTCATAATTCATTTTACTATTATAATAAGGTTTTGTAAGTACAAATAAGGTTTCGTAACCCCTACAAAACTTTCACAATTCTTAATCGATCTCTTTATTTTCTTTGTTTCGAAAAAATATATGAATATGTTGATAAATTAAAAAAATTAAATTTCTTATGTATGAAAGATTATAATAGTCGACTTCTCAGTTGAGTAAAAGAGAAGCTTCTAAAAAAGGAACGCTCAAATTTCACGGTTTTTCCATGTAAAAGAATTTTGTATCTATTTGTGTATATTTCAGTCAAGCTTTTTGTAAATACTTAAATCATTTATAATTATTACTGAATCAAATTTTGAAAAAGTTAATGTTAAAAATACCTCACGATTGACTCGCCACATTTTAATTAATTAGAACAATAAATAAGACAATTATTGATGTGATGAATAATAAAAATCAATCTAATTTATACTTAGTCTCCAATCATACTTTCTCACTATTTGCATTGCAAATAAAATAACACTGAGATTATATAACAAGAAGATTATCAAAGATAAGAAAAAACCTCGCATTATCATATGGCCTTGAAATGGACTCACGTTTATGAATGAGCAGATGGCGATTAAGTTTGCTCTTCTGCACGAAGCTTTTATCGCAGAAATTGCATGCGAAGGGCTTGTGTCCGGAGTGCATCCTCTCGTGGTACTCGAAATGCGAGCGTTTGGCAAAGGTCCTGGCGCAGAGGTGACAGCGAAATGGGGCTTCTCCACTGGGACAGCTCGTGTGGTACCACTTGCCTCGCGGACTTTTGAACATCTTTTCGCAGAAGGTGCACTTGTATGTCACCGTGTTGCCTGGGAGCGTCACTATGTGGCTCCAGTCCTTGCCCCGTCTGCGCCGTTTCGGGGACGGGCCCTTCGTGTCCGTCTAAAGCGGTGTAAGTTTATATATAATGGTACATGTTTATTTACATAATTTGTGCATTATACTTCGAACATTAGTAGAGTGAAGAAGACTAAGTAACTGTTAAATAACTATTCATATTTAATTAACTATTCATTAGTTCAAATGAAAGGACTTGTTTCTTTAATTATGAAGAATGCATTAAGATTACCGATTAAGATTCAAATAAATAAAATAATGATTGATGAAAAATTTTTTTGTCATACACAAACCTCATAATTGTCTTCATAAAATAGAACTTTAGGTTTTCTTTTTCTTTTTCCTTTTCGAATTGTTATTTGCTTATCATTTTTTTTGTTTTGTTCCTTTCGTTTTTTGCGTTTTAGTCTGGTTGAAGAATTCGTTTGATTATCGTTTGTATCTATCTTAATATCCTCTTGAGCTTTATTCTTAGCTTTACAAGTTTCATGCTTTACAATTGATATAGAAACTAATTCACTATTGCATCCTTCCTTAGTATTAACTGCTAATTCTTTTTTCTCATTACACATCTCTTTATTTTCTTTATTTTCATCATCTTTGACTTTTTCTTTTTTTTTAATTTCTGTTTTATCGCAATTAGGTGTTTTCAATATTTTTTCACTAGTTGGACAAATAGAACTTTCTAAATTCAGGAAACTTTTATTCGTATATTCAATATGTATACTACTGAATTGATTGGTATCTTTTTCTTTCTTATAGCTGCTTTCTAACTTATCGGCTAAGTTGTCATTATGTTTAAGTTTTTTTTCAAGTACAGAATAACTTGGAAACTCATAACATTTTAAATGGTCATAATTAACTCTTTCATCTTTATTTTGTTCTTTGTTTACTGTATCTTTGTCTATTAAAATTCTTTTATCAGTTAAAGGACTGCTTGAATGACATAAATGATCGGAGTCTAGATTAATTACAAATGGAAGAGATGTAATATCTGGTTGATTATTATCTGATTTGTCAGTTTTATTTTCTTCTATCATTCCAATTATATTTTTTTCTGTGACTGATTTATTTTTGAACAATACGTAATCTGATAATTGAAACTCTGGACTATGGTATTCAAGAAGATGAATAGGGCTTGTAATTGATTCGTTATATGCTATTTTTTCACCTCTACTTTTAAAAGATAAGTAGTCAGATAATCTAAAGTCTGGACTTCTATTACTAATAAAGTGATTTGGAGTCTTGTTTAATTCATTATAATTTAATTTTTCTATTTGACCTTCTTCTATACTGTCTATTATTATTATATTTTCTGTTGTAGATATTTCACTTTCAACAAACTGGTAATTATTACCTTGAAATTTATTTAAATTATTTACAAGAAAACTAAG